GTTCAGAAGTCGAGTTTTTGTAATTGTTGTTTGAAATGAACAGCTTTTTTGACTCATTTGAGAAAATAAAAATCTATCAACTGTGTTAACTTATCACTATTCGAATGACAAAGCACATGCTGTCAAAATCAGTAAAGATGCCACCAAAGACGGAGCCAATATGTGTGATTTTGGTTGCAAAAAAGTATAGTCGTACTATTACACATTGCTGACTAAAAATCGTTTGTTAGTTATACTTAAATACATACATAAATATATTTTTTTCTATTAGCGTTTAAAAATTTAAATTAAACCTTTGACATCTAGAAAAAGAAAAAAATGATCTGGTTTATATAAATTATCATACATCTAAGAGTAGTAAACTAAATTTGTCTTTTAAAATCGGAAAGTTCTTTAAAAATTTGAAATTGGTTATACTAAACTTTAAAAACGCATGAAAAAGAAATTGTTTGCTGTGCTGTGCGCAGCCATATTTTTAACTAAAATATATTAGTAGTAAAACCACGTTTGCCTTGAAATATGCAATCTGTATGCTTGAAATTGACTCTGATGAGTGATTTACTTTGGCGACTATCGCGGTCTTCGGACTCTCTAGGTTTGCTATCACCATCCAGAAATTGACTTTAATGAGACTTCTGTTTTTTTTGGGGCGACTTTGGGCGTGTTTTAGAGGTTTACGTTGCTCAAACCAGGGTCTTGAGTGATTTTAAGCTGGGACTTGTCTTTTTGGTTTCTGACAAAGATTGGATGCAAATGGGTGTCAGATCGTCCGGCTGAGCCGCCTTTGGATCTCAAAATTTTTTCCGGTGAGTTTTTTCCAAGAACTTTTATTTTCTCGCAAGATTTTCTCACAGAATTACTAGTAGACCTACAGAAGGTAGACCTACAGAAAATGTACCGAAGGCAAATTAGCCAAAAAACTGTTTTCAGAGAAAAGTCTGTGCTATCAGATATACAATTTTTTAAAAGCCTACACAGCAGGGGCAGATCAATGATTTTCTCAAAGTGCGGATTTTCAAAAATTTCAAAAATTCCGTCGACCGTTTTTTTCTTTTTAGGTCGACCAAATTAATTTTCTGACATCTCCCAAATCACTTGAAAAATATAGCCGAAAAGGATACACACCTTGGTTAGAACTCAAAAAGACACATTTTAAAACTGTGTCTTTCTAAAACTATGTGAAATTTACATTCTTGAATTGCTACTGAAAGACGAAAACTAAGCCAACAGAATTTTAGCCGAAAAATGTAATTGAAAAAAGTATTGTCAAGAGATGAATATGAAAACCTCAGTCGACTCGGTACGTACATATACAATCCACCAAATTGAGGCTAAATCTTTTCAACGATTTGAAGATATAGATATAATGGTAACTTGTCAAATGGCATAATTCCCAAAATAGCCTAAAAAATAAAAGTTTCCCAAATGGCATAAATTTCAAGTTTTCATTGTAATTCAAACGTTTTCTATCAATTTAAATTCTTACAATTTGTCAGGAATTAAAGCATGTGAACAAAATTTGGAATCAATTGCTTCCAAATAAATGTTAAGCGACAAATTTGGCGGAAATAGTGACCACAAGAAGCTTATCAATAACCGCAAGCTTATGTTTTTCGATTTTGATTAAAATGTCTAACATTTGTTTCAATATAAAATGTCAATTAGGATTTGAATTGACAATTTGACTAGTTTTCACATTTTTCATAAAAAAAGTGTTCTCGAATTTTTAACGCTACTGTTGCATGAAATGTATGCAATTTGGAAACTTTTCTTTTATGCCATTTGGTAATTATGTCATTTGAGACATAATCGATATACTGATAATTTAACGATATGAATATAGTTTAACCTTGGCAAACCTGATAAAATTGCAACTTCATGGAAAAAACCATTCTTAACAAAAGACAGAAGTAGTTGTTAACTATTGATTGTTTTTAAAGGTTACCAAAATAAACAATTAACACTCAACAATAATTTTTGAGTGATTTTTTTTCTTTTCGATTATCAAAAATTATCTATCTACGATAAGCTCTTTGCGTTTCCGATCTTTTATATAATTGAAATTTTTTGATAGAATTAACGCAATTGGAGATAGAAAAATATGATTTTTGAGTTGAATTTCAACATTCCTGATAGTATTTTTCAACTAACTTCAGTATAGGATCAACCGTACAATATTTCCCCCTCAAGTGACGCCTACCGTAGAATGCCCTCCCCAAGTATGTATCAATTCTGAAAAATATTATTTTTCAAACAAACGCGCAAATAAAAAAAAATTTTATACATGTTTGTGCAAGATTGCATTTGTATTAATTACCTAGATTAATGTTTTAATTCATTTTATTTAGTAGTAATATTCATTTTGAACAAATCTAGGCTATACTCTAAATTAGTTTATGAAAAATCAAAATTTTCTACCACCTGTATCGACTTGGAGCGAGGAATTGTACGCTTGATCTTGATTATAACTTGAACAGGTATCCTCCCCGTCTTTTAACTCCAATATCACTTCTTCCTGAAAAATATTTCAACGCATATTTTTCGGCAATTTTCCATCGCAATGCCTAACATTTAATAGGGGCAGCTGAATTTGAAAATCAACATACCTCATACTTCGATCAATGCTTCAACAATCTTTGAAGGTTCACAAATCATCCTTGAACACGCATCAAAATTTTTTTAAATATGCATCAATATTCATTCTTCGAGTTTTACTGCAAATTATTCCAATAAGTTATTGAAAAATGAACTTTTTTGTTCAACTTAAACGTAAAATGAATTTGTTGAAAAATGGAGCGTTAAAAATGTTTCGATTGTTAAAATGTCAACAAAATGAAAGAAATAATTGGATTCACGTTAAGTTGTTAAAATTATTCAATTAGAAAGTTGAAATTCAATGCAAAAAGTAAAATTATTCGTTCCGGTGCGAATTCTCAAATTGAAAATCCCGTGGAAACTAAAAATCAATCACAACTTTTTTGTTAAAATTTAGTACGTCAAGGGCGTAGTTTGCGCTTCAAAAAACAACTGATTTTTCAGCAAAATTTTAGCAAAAATTTCAAAAAAAAATTCAAAAATCCAGCCTCAATTCGAGCGCGAACAATTGATAACAATTGTTTCCTGCAAAAAAAAATATATGAGTTTAAAAAATGAGATTTCAATTTATTGATAATAACTGAAATGAAAAGCCTCATTGACTATAAAACATCAAGTGCCAGTTCTTTTTTTTTACTTTTTGAAAATGGTATGAAAATTTTTTTTGAAAATAGCAAAAGTCCTACAGCTGAAAAAAAACTTTAGGACTTTTTCCAGCAAGTTCAACTACACACTTACCTAAAAACTGGAATTGGAAATTTTTTCACCGTCTTCCCTGCTTTGATCATCCGATGAAAAATAACGCATTTAAAACTTAGCACAAAACTTAATTATTGATCTTTCAACAAGAAGTACTGAATAACAAAAACACCTTTCGTTATTCAAGGTCACTGCATGTAATTATATTGAGCAAACTTGGAAATAGAGACTAGGCAAAACCACACCGAAGACAACATATGTTTAGAAATACCACAATTATTCCCATTAATTATTCACCATACAGCCTCAGCATAGCTAAAAAAAAGGAGAGGATTATCCCTTTTTTGTTTTACGGCCAGTTTTAGCACAATTTAATTGAACAATAGCACAATTTGTTTGTCACAATATTTTACCACAACTACGGGGTAAAGCATCAACGCAAGAAATGAAAGCTTCCCGACAGAAACTGCCAAGAAAGCCATCATGTCGAATAATATATTCGAATAAAAATGTTTGTCTTCAGTAAAAAGTATGAAAAAACGGGTAGACACTTTTATCTTAAAAGATAATCTTTTCAAAACAATCAAATTAAATTCGGCGAAAACTTTACAATTTACAAATCCAACCAGCCCCGCCTTGTGTTCTGAAACCATATTTTAGGGTTAACACAAGAACTAGATAATATACTTTCCTGAAATTAAAGCTGAAATTATTTCGGCCGAATAGATTTCCGCGAAAAGCACTAGACAATTATGAAAAAAAGCAAAATAGATACAAACAGGTTGATCAAACTACATTACAGGAAAAAATCAAAATGACCATTTGAGAGAAAATTACCTTAATCACAAGAAAAGACAGCGCTGTGTCGACTAAGCAGACACAAAATTATCAGGTAAACTATAGGCCGACTATTTCTTCAATACAAAAGTTCCATCTGCTTCCAAACAACACATCCTGACCGTAATCGGACGTTTGTCGACCCAAGCAAAAAATATATCCCGAACAATGGTACGAAAGAGGATGTAGAACTTGATTTAGCTAGAGAATTAAGCTGAAAGATTTATAGATGAATACCTCTAAGCAAAAATATATCTTAAAAAAAGTCAAATAAAATATTCCTCTGTACGTTATTGTACACTGCCACGCACTTAAATAAATCGGATAAACAATCCGAAATTTAAGCCGACAAAGCTTTAGTCGAAAACATGAAACAGAAACATCATTATCATAATAAATTAAACACGAAACGGTTAGATTCCGAGACATAGTTTTGGTCAGTAGTTACAAAAATAGAACTTTGAATTTCAAATAATTAAGCATGTCAGCAGCGAAAATCATAGCAGACCAAAAAGTTCAAAGATACTGTTGGACAATTTGCTAACAAAAAAGCCTAAAATCCCGTTTAACCCTTGCTAATCGAAAACGTAAGCATCTGGCGTTTTCTGCTAACTCTAAACACATTAAGCAGCCTTTGCGAATATTTGCAGTTTATAAGATCCAAATCTTTTGCAGTAGCACAATTTAGTCGTTCAAAATGAGCGGATGCTTTTCAACATTGTTCCTGCTAAATAAAAAATCCACTGTAGCAATCTTAAAATTTACCTATTTTAGTACTAAAATGCTCGAATCGGAACTTATAATCGAATCGGAAACTTTTAAAAAATCATCACGACCTATGCAAAAGTTTTCAGTGTTTATCGACTACCTTTCGTTGTTTCAATAATGTCAATTTATGTAATTCTATACAGTAAATTTTTAAATAAAATGAGGCAATAGCACACCGAAGACACCAAGATATCTTTACAACAATTGATCACATTAACCATTCACTTAATTTCAGCCCAGCTAGAAAATCTAAAAGATTTAACCTTTTTCACGGCCATTTATACTCGTAGCTGCCAATCTATTTTTTCAGTACGCTAGGCATAGCTTAGATTTGTCACTAGATGTTTTTAAAATATAGTGTTTTCTGCGATATTCAATCACATAATAAGCACCCCAGTTAAATATTTACAGCTTATTGGACCCAAACCTTTTCCAGCATCACAACTTAGTCTATCTGTACTAGAAAATGGATAATGGGCGCTGAAAACAAAAAATGCGGCCCCTGCATCAATATTTGATAACGTTGCTTTCAAGCTTGAACTATAATCCATTCAATTAAATGGGAAATTTCGATTAAAGAAATTGAGTTCGAGCCCCAGGATAGTTTGACAAGGGTCGCAAATTTTTGTATTGCATAAGTAACAGCAAAAACATAATTCTATACCACAACAAAACATCAGTTCAAGCCTGGCGCAGTTTAAATAAGTCTGTTCACGTCTGATTCTTCAAAAACTAACTCCATCTTTGAGATATCTTCTTCAGAACCACCAAAATCTGAGGTAAAGTGCACCAGCAAATAACACAAAAAAGCCCAGGCCAAACTTGACGTAGTGTGTCCAGGAGTTGAGACTCTTTGCACTCTTCGAGTACTTCGCCGACATCATAGAGAGACTGCTCGCTTTGTCGTCTAAATCGGAAAGCTTCTCTCCTCTTTGCAGTACATCGTCTATATTTTGCACCATTATCCTTTGGATTCCTGAAAAAAAAACTCACAATATTACAAAATATCTCAGCATTAAGCGACTCGTTTTTGTCACGACCTTGATAGCTTAGTTTTGGACAAATTGGAGCTTCGACTGGTTAAAAAAACAACCTGATGATTCGCAGTCTGAATATTTGAGTTAGACTATCCGTTTAAAGAGCAAAAAATGGCGGTGGTGAAACAGCTGATTCTCCGCCACGCTGTCAAAAGGTGATTGACTCGAGGCCATCATGATCCAAACTCATTGCTTGAGAGTGAAGAAACAAGACCCAACTTAAAAATACCTAAAAAAATTAATTGTAACTTTTAATCATATAGGCACACCAGCAGTTCCCCATAGAGCTGAATAGCTCGTATGTTGGTTCTTTCCCTCGTGTATGAACTGTCTCAACAACTTTCCGGTCAAAAGTATCAAATCAGTTAATTTTTTTAGGATTTGGCACAGATACAAAAATTTTCACCTTGTAGTTCGCTGCTGACATTGACTAAATTTCTCTTTCCTCTAGTTGCACCATCTGTGAATGACTTTTTGGCCCTCTGAATGTAAGTGTCGAACTCTATGAAAGCGTAAGGCCTGCCTACAGACCCATACTTTTGGGCGTATTGCGTTAGGAACTGTGTTGATATGTCTTCTAAAAACTCGTACGCTAGTCTTTTGGAAAAAGTTCTCTCGCAAAGACAGAGGAAACAGATTTCGTTTGAGATTAGATAGTGGAACAAGTAATTGCCGCTCTCCAGCGTACACCTAAAACATCACAAAATTTATACGTTGACTTTAAAATTGCGCCAAAATTGACGTGAAAAAAGCGGTCACTTTATAGTCACGCAAGAAAATAGAGTTTGAAATTTTCACATGTCGACAAAAAAAACCCTTTAAGCGATGTTATTCATCCTTTTGTTTTTAAGCTCCAAACTCATTTAATATGTTCAACTTGACAAAAAAATCCAATGCCGAAGCTTTCAATGAATATTGAAAACAATCTGCCTTAGCATGTCACATGTCTTCATGCCTTACTGTTGAGGGGATCTGATGTTGAGTCGTTTGAGGAGCTGTTTGGCCTGGTTCTGATACTCCACCAGTTCCCTCCCCGTCTTCTCATCCTCCTGGATCGAGGCAGAGAGTGGCAGTCCATCTGTCACACGCCCGATAAACGTCAACAATATCATCTGAATCATCACACAAATTCATTACGCAACATCTTTATTTACGAAAGTTCATATAGCAAGTCTGATCAAAATCTACAATACGGTTCATAGCTTTAAATTACTGAGTGCTGCCCATAACAGCCCAAATAATCTCAAGTTCTATGCAACAAAAATATATATTTTGCAAAACTTAAACTTTTCTTAGATTTATTACGGCACGAAACCATCCATGCTAGTAGTGAACAATTCTCTCAACTCTATCTTAAGCCATTTATTTTATTTTTCTCAATACCTTAACCAAGAAAGACTGTGTCACGATGCATTTGACTAACCTCCAGATTTCATATAACCTATTCATAAGTTAAAATCCAAAAAAAAAATAATTTTTGACCCATAAAAATACAAATTTGGTTTTATTTTGATGCAACATCAAATTTCGTCCTATTTATTTAAGTAAAATACAACTTTTGCACAATTACTTTGGAAGTTTAAAAGCGCACAATCGGTCTGATACATGTTACGAGCTTGCCAGTCCCCAGGCTTAAAATGTTGGTTCTATTGTGGCTATTGGTGCGAGAGCACGGACGCGCGCCTACCAACTGCCAGCTATGGAAACAAATTTAAAAAAAGACGAAACCTGCTATACGAGTTGTGTCAATTAAACTTTGGGGACAGAATCTATGTCAGCCCCCGAGCCTCACCTGCTTGATTTCAAAAACTTTTCAAAACTTTATTGAAAGCATATTTAGGACGAAAAGCACATTTAAGGATTAACTGTTTTGGCTATTCTTTGTGTTGTTTGTACACAAAAACAAGGGAAAACATAAAACATCTGCAATTGAATTCAGACAAAAAACTTCAAAATAAATTGCACCTTGGGTACTTGATTAATAAAAGCAGCTAATTTAAACTGAATTGAATTGTACATTGATAGCATTTATATCTAGAATAGCTTGTAATTTTAGAGATTGATAAAGTATATAGGTAATGTAATAATATGAGCTAAATAAGGGCTCTTTTATTTTCAAAAATGGCTTCAGGAAATTGGAAACAGCGAAGATGTCAAAACATTCATGGAAACAAAACAAAAAGAAACCCGCGCAAACGAAAACCTTTGGCAGCTATGATTAATAAAAGCTTGAATTTATTTATTGCATCCTAACCTGAACAAAGTCTCCACATTCTAGTATCAATATAAATTATTGTCAGGCGTGAAACATTTAGTAGATATATTTTTCTAGCAGTTGGGCTTCTGCCAGTTCTTTTGAAAACTGCTAACTGCACTTTCAGATGATTTGCACCGATGAGTCATTCAAAACAATAGCACTTCTATCTTTAAAATGTAGAGAAGTAATATGAGTGAAGCTGATATCAATGTTTATGCATTTTTCACAGAACTTTTTTAAAAAACATTTCGCATTCGTTGTCAATTGAAAAAAACCAGTTGAATCTAAAAAATTTCAAAAAAAAAATTTTCAGAAATTTTTCAAAATAGCTTACTTGAAAGATTGATACGAGCCTAATTCATTATAACCAGACATCAACTGCACTCCAGCCGACAAAACTTCCTCTTTTTTTCGACTTCACTTTTTCAATCTATCTAATTTCATCTGCGCACTTAGTGCTCCTCGAATTGAATATCTCTATAGTCTCTGTAGTCATCAATCATTGCGTCATAGTTGGCCACTTTCTCCCCGTCTACGTCATAGTATGCGGCCGGGTGGGCTGCGGGTGGAGGAGGGGGGACATTACCAGCCCGATGGCGGTCCTTGGAGGGGGGTTGTTTCGTGGGTGGTTTATCCTTGCCCATCTTTTCCTTATACTTTTTCAGTTTCTCTTTCCGCTCCATCAGATGTTTCATTTCGGATTCCAACTCCTGTTCGTATTTTTTAAGCTCGTCCTCTTTGAATTGTTCTGTTTCGCTCACACCTGAAATAAATAAATCCATTGTGGATCTACAAAAATGAGTTGTATATTCCAGCCTGTCTGAAAGACCATGTAATCACATCGATGTAAAATATATGCACACTGAACTCCCAGATAAATTACCAGAAATTGGAGTAGATTTTGCTGACTGAACGCCTAGAACAAAATTTCTTTTTCTTTTTCTCTTTATCGTAACTCTCGACCCACCTTAGCCAACAAAGCTTTAGTTGCGTTGAAACAAAGCACTGTGTTTTAGATGGTGCCACGACAACTCGCATCCAAAGACAATTCACAAATTCAAGGAAATCGGCAACTCACATAATTTCAACATTGGTTTACAAATCGTTAATGACAAGTAGCAATCGATTGCTCAGCTGCGCTTACATTCGCCACGAGCGATGCAATGTGCGTGAATTGGTCTTTGACGAATTGGTCTTTACAGAGATTTCTTCAAAAATTTACAGAGAATTGGCGCTTTTCTAAAAATTGCGAGCTGCCTTCAGTTTCGAGTTGTTCTCGTAGCAGTTTTAGATATCTTTGAGATGTTTCACATTTCTAGACTTCCTCCCCCTCTTCAATGTTGTGAAAACTTCGTTTGCACTCACCCTTCCATTCATCGTCGGTTTCGAATTCGGCCGAGTTGGTGAACTTGTCGAACTCTTCCCAGGTGATGGTGCGGTCCTTGTTAGTGTCGACCTGATGCATGGCATGTTGTCTCATCCTCGCCATCTCCTCCTCCTTCACTCTCGCCAGTTCCTCTTTGTCCTCGTACTGCCCATTCTTCTCGGCCTCCGCATACATCTTCTCAACTTCTTTCACGAACAGCGCCTCCAGCTCAAACTCATCTACACAAATACACACACGTTCAAACACACGCTCAATCAAGTATTAATTTTACGGCTCTTTTGCAGTCTCCCACCCCTTTAAAATTACTAAATGAGGTTCCTAAGAAATTGATCACTTGGAAATTTATGTGAAAGAAATGCTGTAAGAATCTGTTCAATTGTTCACACCGGTACGTTTCATTGGAGTTTAGGTTATCGAAAGTATTTTTAAACAGGTTTCGCTATATCGAATATCAGAAAAAAATCAAAAGGGGACTGGAAAAGAACATTTTACATTCATTCATTTCTAGATATTTCGAACCATTTTTTCAAATAATTTCACTCATAACTATTTTCCGCCCATCTGACTACGCTCATGAGACAGTGGCGGATTTAGAGATTCGACCCCCTGCCGACCCAAAGGGTCCCCCCTTTCTTACTTTTTAAGAAATCCATTTTTGGTCGACCCACCATAAAATTTTTCTAAAGGCGCCAATATATACTAATTTTGAGGGGGGAGCGCGCGCCGAAAAAACGCGATTTTTTGGTCAAAATTTTCCAAAAAGTGCCTAAAAACGCCTTTTTTGGACTGTTTTTTCAAAATTTCGCCTGTGGTGCACAAAATTTGGCCAAAACAAAACAGGGACTAAAACGTGCTTAGGGAGAGCTCGAAAAATCAATTCGGTCGATCTAAAAAAAAAGGTCGACAAAATTTTCGAATTTTTTTTGAAAATCCGCCCCCCCCCTCGAGAAAATCCTAGATCCGCCCCTGTCATGAGATGACGTTTTTTCGACTGACAATGCTTCCACTTACGGAAAGAAAAGTAGACTCTTTCGGGCCAGGGTGTTTTTTTCCTTGCGATTTTCCATCCAAAAGAAACAGAGAAAATTAGAGGAAAATTAGTCAATGAACTTAAGGAAACCAAAAAAATCACTATACAGCTCATTATTTTTCTTCAAGTTTCCTCCCGCTATCTACTATTGCCTTTACTTCGCCTATCAATTTGGCAAATAAATTTGAATTCAACATTTAAAAAAATTGTAAATCAATCAATGGTGAAAAATTTGAGCGTAGAGAACTGAAAAAAAAACAAGAAACAACCGATGCAACTAAATAAAACTAAAATAATAAATCTGTGAAATTGACCTAATCGGCCGTCAGAGTTGGTGTCGTGCATGTGGAAGAAGGTCTTGGGGTTGAACTTCTGGCCCTCCATGTGGTCCACTTCATCCCACACCTCCTTCAGATTCTCCTTATGGCCCGGCTCGTGCATCCTGTCAACACTAGTACATATGATCATGGCCAACTACAACCGCAGCTGTAGTCTCAGTGTTATAGCTTGTAAAGAATTTTAGTACAATGCCTTCTGGAAAACTTTTACAAGTGGGTGCTTTTTGAAAAAAGTGGCACTTTTTTAGGTTCACAGTTCACATGCAGGTTTTTGGACTGAAATAGCGTTTTGACTCAAAAAGTCGACAAAATATTCGAAAATTTTTTGAAAATCCACTCAAAATCCTAGATCCGCCCCTGGTTTTGAGTACTTTTTTTTGAAGGCTGGATGGTTCAGACTTATAAAACTCCTTTTTCGGCGCACACATCCACTTATAAGGAAAAGCTCCGACTTAAAACTACAAAAAATGAACCTCGGGTGTTCTTTAAGTTTGTTCCTCTGTGCCTGCCATTCCCTCTCCTTCTGAGCCCTCTCTTCAGGTGTCAGATGTTCCATAGCCTTCCTGTGTTCAATTTCTCTCCTCATCTCATGCTTTTTATACTCCTCCTCACGCTTCTTGTCTATCTCATCTAAACATGAGATAATCATAAACATGACAGTGCAGGGGGCGGATCTAGGTTTTATCGTGAGGGGGTGGGGTGGGGGTTGGATGCGGATTATCAAAAAAATAGTCACCCAAATGAATTCCTCGAGCTGTTCAAAAACGCAATGACTTTGAAAAATATTTCTTTGCCATTTTGGGCTTTTTTTGAAAGTTTTGACCATAAAAATTGCCTCATTTGGCGCGCGCTCCTCGTAATTATTGGGGACTTTTTGGAAGCATCTACCACCAACCATATATATGCCTCAATTTCTTCAAAAGTCGGAAATTGAAGCCAATAAGCATAAATTTTAAACCAAAAAACAGTTAATAAAAATAAGCAACAAAAAAACAATAAAGAAGGATAGCCTGCACAGTATATTCCGACCATATTCATAAAAAAAATACATAAGAAGCCTTTTCATACTTTTTCTTTCAAATTAGTCTTCGTTTTTATGATTCGTGTGATAAAAGGATCAGAAAAATGCATAAAAATTAGGCATATTCGACGGGCACAGTAGGAAAGTCATATCGGGTAACAGTTTTCAAATTTCAAATAAGATTTTTCATTTTACTTCAGAAGTTCTTTAGAAAATTTGAAGTTTTTTATTCCCAAGATAGCACTAAAAAACATTCAAACACAGAGGCGAAGCGGAGCTTCGCACCACTTGCGATACAACACAAACATAAAACAAAACATAAAAACAAGAAAAATTTGAAAAAACACTAGGTCATATAAAATTTCATATGTCTCGATAGAAAATCATTTCAGGCAAACATGCCAGACACTTGAATTTTAGAACAGCAACAACGGAATAAAATCAACAAAAAAACCTTAAAGAAAAAGGGACGACACTTGCACTTGCAATGCAAGTTGTTTACAGCACAAGAAAAATCAGTGATGTGGCAGCTAAGCCGACAATCTTTTAGCAGACACCAACTGAACCGAAAAAAGATTTTATGAAATTTTTTAAAAAAAATCTTCTAAGTCCCCCCTGAAATTAAAACGAAAAACACATGCACTTGCAATTTACAATGAAAATTGTCTACAGCACAAGAAAAATCCGTTGTGACAATTTAGCCGACAAAACTTGAGCGAACAAACGGAAAACCAACGATTCAATTTTCGGAATTTTTTTTCAATTTCCTTGATCTGAAAAAACAAGGTCCGGCCACGACTTACACCCCAGATATTAGGGTACAAAGGCAACTGATTTACCTCCAGGCCAAGGGGTAGCAACCTGGAACGTTATTAAAAGAGAATATAACTGAAAGAAGTCAGCTGCATAGAGAAGAAATCAGCTGCCTTTTCCTCCTCCTCAGCAAGTGATTCAACTAATTTTGTTAAACTAGTTGTTAACCAGAAAAAGTCTTTATTCCAGTTTAATAACGCTTGCTAATCAAAAGAGTTAACATAATTTTACTGGAGTTAAGCTAAAGTTTCATGGCTTATCCTTCTGTAATAATCCTGCTCGCTTGCTTTACTCGCTCGGAACTGGCTTTAATATGATATATCACTCTAGCCAATACGATGATTATTTGCGGTAAATTCTTTTGGATGAACAACAAAATAAGCCTGCTCGATCAATTATTCGCTCGAAGTTAGGCCCAAAAAAAACAAAAATTTCAAACAAGTTTTTCTTACCACCCGAAAAAAATGTTTACAATATTTTTTATTTCGTTTGAATCGAGAATGAAAGGGCTTTATTAAGATATATTACTTGACCCATTCTGAAGCTAATATGCGGTACCTGATCTTGCGTGAAAAACGAAAAGAAAAAACAAACTACAACACACCCAATACAAAGTTCCTTCCCATTTTCAATGGTCAAAACAGTTGGGCTGAAATAACCTAGAAGATTCAGCAACTTTTTGCACAAGCTCTCAATATTCACAAGCGCCTTGCTGGGTCCGAACTAACAAAACCCAGCTGCTATTAACCTGATAGAAGATTAAACATCTCTTTAACCATAAAAACTGAGGGAATTCTTAATCTCCAAAACAACAAACGCGCAATCAACAGCAGAGGATTCAAAGTCTTGCATCACAATATGGACAAGTAAAATGACAGACGCGTCGCATAAAACTGTTTTGACGGGGAAAACAAAAATTGCATACGATTTCTTAGCTTTGCAAATGTTTACTTTTAAGAAACAGTTCAAGGGTTTTGCACCAGAAAGACTCACTCTGATAACTCTCATCTATTTTAACAGGTGAAAAGGTGCAATTAAGCCGATAGAGGCTTGGCAGAAAAATGGAAAACATTGCCAACAGACAGTTGAAAAAGAGTCAATGACCGCAATTAAACAGAATAAATACCGAATTTTTATTCGAAAAACATTTCAACTTTCGAAATTCGAAGAAAAAAAAATAGATGCCCTTATGGCTTTTTAAATTTCTAGAAAACTTTAAAGATATCTATTGGCATTTTATTAACCCAATTAAATATAACTGGATCAAAAAGTAACTTTTAATTCGCTGGGAAATCTGAAAACTAAATTCACCTTTGAAACTAGAAGTCGATCACGTTTTTCGAGAATTTTACACTTTTGCTGTTAAATAGTGGAATTTGCCTTACTTTTAACAAAGGAAATGAACTCAACATGAAAAGAAATCAAACCGCGAAAAATGAATTTGAACTGATTGTCCGAACAATAAATTTATTTGAAACTTACTGTCCGAACAATATACTCAATTGAAAATAAAAAAAAAATTATCGCGACCTATACAACAGTCTGAACACAGCCTTGGTAACTCATCTTTTATCTCCTTTCTATCTTACACACGGGTATTCCAGAGTATAGCCGTGAAAACCAGAAACGCGGCCAACTGACAGTTGGAAACGAGCAATGAACGCAAAAAAAAACAAAAAACGCAAAAAAGTAAAAAAAAATATATGGCCTTAACTCTTCCCTCTTTAGATTTTAGGATGAAGTATTTTTTGACTTTTTGATAAAATTGACTTTTTGATAAAATGAAATAAAATTTTGATAAAATCAAGTTTCGATTCCTCTTATTAGAGCAATTCAAGGCTCTTTCCTGAAAAAAATACAGCTACGTTCATTACTCTTGAAAAGAGTGGTGAGCCGATGAAAAAAAGGAACAATATTTCGCCAAAAAAGGCACAAAAATTACCATACCCCTCTATAAATAAAAATTTATTTAGGAAAATACCGACAAGCTGAGCTTAAAATACATGAAAACAACGTGAACCGAGTTGGCAATCAAAATGGGCTGAAAAAAAAACGAAATAACATGAACGCACTCAGGTTTTTGACGAAAAAACTAAGAAATCGAGATTGAACGAAAACTTGAGTATTGCAATCTGCTTTTTTTCCTCTAAAGTTTGGATTTCGGGAAAATGTAGCACAAGTGACGCACTCGCCGAATTCACAAAAATACTGAGAAAGTCTTTTTATTCTTATAAAGCGTATACTGACTTATTAAAAGGCGCAGTTTATGCTCTAGAACTACATTAGTAAGCGGCAACTTCAAGCTCGGAGCACTTTTTGTACACTTCCCTAGCAGTGCCAATCAAAGACTAGAATAGAGTAATGAACGCAAGTAAGCATAGAAAAATAACACTAAATTTGTTGAAAAAATCTCAAGGCTGTTAAGTAAAACAAATATATCATAGCCAATCGAAGATTGAAAAAGAGTAATGAACGCAAGTAAAAATATAAAACAAACTAACTGTGCTAGAAGAATCTCAACTTTCGATTTTGAAAGACAAAAAAAAGCTGCCCTTTAAGCTCTTTGATTTTTTAAAACGATTTATGACCGGCTCTTTTCTGATAACATTAATCCAATTTGAGAAAACTGGATCAATAAGTACAGTTTTTAATCCGCTGGAAATCTAAAAATTAAGTTACACTTTCGAAACTAGAAATTGTTCTTAATTTTTCGCGCTATTTCCACACTCATATTTGGAGAGTGCTATTTACGTCATTTTCAGCAGATTAATTTAATTTGAACTCGAAAAGTGCATATATACCTCAATGCATACATAAATGCATCAATATCTATGAATGCACATCTGTAGTTATTAGAGACTTTCAAGACTTTTCCTGAAAAACAAAAAAAATCAGCAAGACCTATATTAGAGTCTTTACTACGTTCATTTCTCTTTAAGATATCAAGTCTCATATATCGTCTTTATATTACAAGGAATTAGACAACTGCTCTCGCAAGAGTAACAATACTTGAAGATTTAGAAACTCAAATGTAGTTAAGACCACTCACCTAAGTCCCTGGTGGCCGTATGAATTAGCTGCTGGAGGTCGTCTTCCGAAAACTTGTCGAATTCCTTGGGGTCCTTCGGTCTGTTCATATGTGCAGTCATACTCTTGACATAGTCCTCGTGCACTGATCTGTCATTGTTGTGTAGTCTCGCCTTCTCTTTGAAGTCAGTCCTCAGCCGGTCAACTTCCCTCCTCTTAGCTTCGTCTAACTGAGTTCTGATAATAAAATGAGAATGGTACGTTGATGTGCAAAAACACAGAATTCTTCGACCAGCTACATTCGCAAACAATCAATCTAAGTTTCACATTTGACATATTTTTCATCAAATTATCCCAATTACAAAAAACTGGATCAGAAGCGTTTTTGTATTCAGCTGGGAATTCTGAAAAACAAATTCTTCTTTCGAAAACAGATTCGTTCACGTTTTGTCGCGACATTTCTATTTTTCTAATCTGAGAACAAAGCTTGCCTTCTTTTTAGCCAATCAATTTGAAGAGAACTCAAAAAACGATCAAAAGTAAAACCGCGAAAAATCAAACGAGCTAAATGAATTTCCGCTAGACTTTTTCCGGGAAAAACACAAAAACCGCACGACCTAAATTAGTCATAAATCACTGCGTTCATTAATCACTGCTTGTCTATTATCGGATAAAAGAGCTGATTCGATATTTTTTATAACGTCACATCCATAAAAAAAACAATTTGAGAAAAGGGCAGCAGAAGCCTAAAAAAGAAGCAATAAGCAGGAAAACAAGAAATACTGAGCCGAAAAAAAAATCGAATGGAGAATTTATTTTCCGAGATGTTCACTTAAAAGTAAAAATATTTCCATCTAAACGTGCTACAAGCAGCAGTTAAAGAGACAACCAATAATTTTGGTATATGAAATAAAATAAAATATAGCCAACAGATAGTTGGAAAAAAGTCATGAAAGCAAGTAAATAGTATGTACAAATATATAAGTTTTTAAAGCTCTTTTATATGGTTTTTGATAAAAATGGATCAGTAGGTAAAAATTTTTATTCCTTAGGAATCAAAATATTAAAAACCAATGTCGAAACCACAAGACAATCACATTTTTCAGGAACTTTTAATTTTTGCTATTCGATAGTGGAATTTGCCTTCCTTTCAACAAAGGAAATGAAGTGAACTTAAAAGAAATCAAAAGTCAGACTGCTGAAAATCAAATTTTAGCGTGAACAAACTTCAAGACTTTTTCTTGAAAAAAAAACAAAAATATTCACTAAGACCTATTTGGGAACATTCACTACGTCAATGAACGCAAATAAACAAAAAATAATAGTGACTTCTTTTTAAAAAAATCTCAACTTTCGAGTTTCCAGAAAAAAAATACATGGCCTTAAAGCTCTTTGAATTCCTAGAACAATTTATGATTGAAATTTTTTTGATAAAATTAACCAAATTTGAAAAAACTGGATTGGCAGGTAATCTTTTTATTTGGCTGGGAAATCTGAAACAAAATTCTACTTTCGAAATTAGAGTTCGATCACGTTTTTCGTGCCCTTTATACTTTTGCTGTTCCAGAAGGGAGTTTGCGTTCCTTTTAAAAAAGGAAATGAACTGAACTTAAGAAATAAAAAATCAACAAAGGCTAAGCTGCGCTTCGCAAACACTAGCGAGAATACGACAAAAAACAGCTCTATAAAAAGAGAAAAGAAACATAGAAAAAAGCATCGAATTATTCAAAAAAAAACTGGCTACGTCTTGTATTCGATCCTGCGACCTAGAGATTATGAGTCTCACGCATTTACCCTTCAGCCACGGCCGCTTAACAAATCACAATACTAGTCACAAATAAAACATGCCAGTTGCTAATAAATTTTCAATGCTACAGGTCGTTATTATAGCAAAAGTGCCACCAAATAAGTGAACACTTTCAAAAAACACTTTCTTTTGCGAGTTAGGAAGAAAAAAAAAGGTTCGTACTAAAACACTACGCTGCTCGCAACGCAGCTAGTGTAAACAGTGAAGCAGTAAACTTGAGTGAACAAACTTTCCTGAAAAAAAATTATCGCGACCTATATATAAGAGTCTGAACTACGTTCATCGACAATTGAAAACGACAAATACTGTCATCTTTAGTGCGTTTTCTGACAAGAAAACAATATAAACGCGTAGAGAATTAGTGAATTAGACATAAACGACAAAAATTGTCTTCAAAAAATGAGTAGACAAAATGAAAACAAGCCGACTTTTCATGTAACGAACTATACTCGATCGCTCTATTCTCAAATTAAACAAATTACACCACAAAAATCATTCAAATTTTTTCGATTCTGAATAGAAACTAAATTTTTACGAGTTGCATGAATGCGTATTCTTATCAAAATCCTGCTTGCTCGCTTTATTTAGTCGAATTTAGGCTTACAATAAAAACAGTGAAATCGATTTTCCTCGAAAATGGAACTAATTTTTGAAATTTTTTCCAATGTCGCTCCAATCACGACTGCATGGCTTTAATATGATATATCACTAAGCCCAGTCTGATAAATAGTTGTAGTACCCGATTTTGTGTGGAAAACAAAAGTATCTGAAACACCCAAGTACAAAGGACATCCAAATTTTCACTCTTCGGTCATTACATATAAGTTTTGTAAAATAACCCTTGAAATTTTAATCTCCTGAAACATTTTCTATTAAAAATAGACCTTTTAACAAAAATATTTTACAGAAAACTAGTAAAATCAACAGAAATATATATTTAGCTTTTCGAGGTTATCTTCAGTTTCGAGAAAAAACTGATTTCTCCAAAACCTGTAGACATACAAATTAATTCAGGGGGAAAAACAGCATTTTTTACATTTCCATTTTCAAATATTTTCTGTTCCGATGATTATTTCTGGCACCTGATTTTGCGTTTAAAAAATCAAAAAACACAACGGAAGACAAAGTTCCTCCCCATTTGCATAGGTCGGAACAATTCTCTGCACAAAGAGAACGAACACAGAAAGTTCCGACTAAGGGAAGAAATTAATGAGCGAATCTTAGAATACAGTCGCTGCTTGTGTAAATACAACAAAAATTTGAAATCCTTCTATTCTAAAAAAAACATCGTTCAACAGTAGTGAACGGTAATTTATCATGATAAGTTACAGGTTTTTTCACTTCCGAGAAGTTACAGCAATAATAAAATTGTCTCAAAAATGTTATCAATTGAAAATATTATACGATTACCTGACATGGTGTGATGTGAACTGGAGATCTCTGGCCAGTTTTCCCGTGATGACTTCCTCTCTCGTCGCATTTTGCATACGCTTCTTGAACTCGGGGTCCGATTCCAATATTCGGGTGACCTCCCGCAGGTACTTCTCGTACGACAGCTCGGCAATAGAGTCCGGAAGAGTGTCTCCTGATTCGGGCTCTAGATGCTTCTCTCTCGGAGGAGGATTCTTGTCTAATCTACCTGTACAAAAAATACCCGACTTAAGAAACACGAAACCTAATTGACGAGCTTGTTTTCAACGCCAAAAGCTGTAAATTGAAATTAAAAAATGTTGGCAATTTTTCTACGACGACTTTTTAGACCGAATCGCATAGCATAAAATCAAAATCAGTTCATAACTCGCACCATATTATTGATTGGACATGCGTACCTGGATGTGGAGGAGGTGGCCCCTTTGGCACGTGTCTGATGTTCGGGTTATCCGGATGCATCTTGGGCACCCCTCTCGAACCCACAGGGTCAACAAAAACCAGAAACACAACCGAGCACCAAATAAATACTGCCGAAAGGAAAGATGACGCCATGATGGAGTCCGTAGATGACTGTTCGGAACTTCCTATTGCTCTTTGCGGCCAAGTAAGAGGGAGAACAGCGCGTATTGTGTGGAAAACAAACCAAATAATCTATAATAAGAGCAAACAAAAAAGAAGGTGCAATTTAAATAAAAAATAATCTCAGAAAAAGAATAGCTAATTGCTGTAGTTGCACAGACCAGTTTTTTCTGAATTTTTTGACGTTTTTTAATGGAGGGATGGGGTTAAGAAATTAAGCATCAACAATCACTGCGGTATTCGCAGCAAAGTTTGAGCAAATAGAACACGCTCAACATTTGTCTACATTTCTCAAGACATCTCGAATCTAAATCGAGCATTCTGTCATAGAAAATCATCATAGTTTGATACGTGTCATCGGTTACGTCGAATATCGAATGAGCGTACAAATCTTTAAAGCAGCATCAGTCTAATATTATCTTTTAACTTCAGATTATAGAACAAATTCTGAGTCTAAAAAATAGCTAACAGACAACTAGATAGGTGTCAATCAATTCAGGGAGAGTAAAATATATAAACTTAAAGCGCTTTCTGGAGCATTTTATTGTGGACCGTTTTTTTTTTGACAAAACAACCATTTTGATGATTAAACTTAATCAATAGATAAGTAATGTATTAATTAAAACAAGCAGCATGTCTCAACTCAATTTCAAACAATTTCTGAGCCGGATTAAATAGCCGCTTACGCGTCAATAGCACGAAATGTATTGCGCTTCAATTGACCAAAAAAGACCAGACTTGCAATTTTCAAACCCTCATAACTTTGCGAAAAACTATCTCAAGTTAAATATCTTTTTAAAACTGAGCACAGGACAATAATAGCTTTCAGATGCTATAAAAGATTGCGGGAAAATCGCTAGTTGTAAATTCTGAGCAAAAACACCAGAAGCACGAATATTGTGTCACTTTCTTTTAAAGTATAAGAAAAAATCTTTACACAATTAGTTATCTCCAAATAAAATCAAATCTTACACGATTGGAACAAAAAAATTTTTAGTTTGACAGTGGAGGGGACACAAAAAATGCATATTCCATGCCTATATATCGTCTACTCTGGATAGTTTAAGCAAATATTAACAGTAAAAAGCATTTAAATGCAAAAAAAAACATCTAAAACATCATTTTCCTTTTTTCTTCGTGCATCGTACGAGAAAAACCCAGTTGATTGCATATGGGAGCACACAACACTTAAGCACCCATCATTTTCTAGCAAACGAGAGATACATAAATATTATTAATCACAAAAATAAAGAAAAATAATCATTAGGAAAATAGTGATAGGATGCTTAATTAGGAAAATAGTGAAAATTGTTGATATTTTGGATTTTCCCCACAGACAAAACATTTTTCTTACATAGAAAATTAAAAAATAACCCAAGTTTGGCAGGGTAGTTTTCGTGAAAATTCGAAGAAATTTCAAATACTGTCAAAAAATCTTCGACTTTTCCGAGGGCAATAAGTTATTGTTTGAAAAATCATTTAGGCGTAGTCGCGTGTAAAGGAGCTTCCCACATCCCGTTCATTGGATTGAATGCTCAAAAATTGAAAAAAAAAGACTTTTCCGGGGACGATAAATTTTTTCTTAAAAAAAACTTGTGAGTGGCCGCTAAAGCAGGGGTGCTTCTCCCAATTCGTTATTTTCATTGAACCCACAACCTCAGGTCTGGAAGTTTAGTTTTCGAGAAAAGTCAAAAAAAGATTCAAAAAACGGTCAAAAAAATTACATTGGTCACTATTCTATTCCGAGGTCCATAAATTAATGTGTAAAAAATTTCGTCGTAGTCACTTCTGGAGGAGAGCTTTTTTAATCCGTTCTATTCATCGAAATCAAAGTGTCAGATTTGGTAGGTTAAACAAAAAAAATCGACCTAATATTCCCCCACCGGCTTTTTCGAAAGCTGTGGAAAAGATGTACAGCCAAAAGAGACCAAGGGAGCATGCAGGCACACTAAAATGTAGGCTGCCATTCTATGGATAGCACTTTTTTGAAAATCGATAAAAGGGTTTTCGAGGAAAAATTTTTCTAACAAAGTAATTAAATTTTCCAGCGTCTCAAAAAAAAAAGTAAAAAACCCAACCTCATACATTTTCATAGCACCTGTTTCTATCAAACAGGAATTCTAAGTAAACATGCCACGAAAGACATTTGAAAGTCCAATTAGCATTTGAACAAAATTACGAAGCGGAAACAAGGCCGACAAAATTTGAGCGGACACCAGTTGAATCGAAAAAAAACTGACTTTAAAAAACTTCAACAAGTTATAAGTACTCCTGAAAGTACCCTGTAGTAACTAGTGCCCAACCAGCACTTAAAATTGATTTGTCATGAAATTGAGCGTGTCAACTGCATTACTATCATAAATGATTCAACTGATTTTGTTAAACTAGTTGTTAACCCAAAACAAAAGTCTAAATTTCGATTTGACAACGCTTGATGTTCGCAAGCGTAAAAATTGAAAAAAATCAAGCGTAGAAAATTTGCATGTTTTCTGCTGTCGGATAACACTATTATATTTTCATATATTTTCAGATGCAAATCTACTCCTAACTCACTTTCTATAGAAAAAGTTTTTGAATTAAATCATGTTCACGAAGTCTATAAATGTTCTGTCAGTGAGCGAAAACATTTTCATCATGCAATGATAGTTTACCAGCATCAACTGATAAACTTTGTTTTCACTCAAAAAAATACATTCAAAAATTTTGACCCGCTATCTGCGAAGGAGCAGGATTTCATACATTTTTGCAAAAATACAAGGAACAAACGTTTGGGCATCAGACTTCCTTGTGTTATATGAGCAAACAACTTTAGAGCGAAACAAAGAAATTGGTAAAGAGTTTCGATTTCTCAAGTTAAATGAACGCAAGCAAAATTTGAGCAAATCATATACAAAGAGTTTATAAACGGGCAGAATTTTTTTTATCGAAGAATGATTGGGTGATACTTTCAAACTTTTCTTGACGCAGCTCCTGCGCTTAATATTTCGTTGCACCATGAAAACTTAATTTAACATCGTGAACCAGCAAACCGTATTGGATTTCTGGCTTGAAATTGGACTAATAAAATTTTGTTACAACCGATTTTAGCACAAAATGTCGCATTTTCGAAAAAATACCGCAATGCCGCCCCAGTTTTATTTTAATTTTCAGAATATGATGAAAAAGTGACATGTTTTTATCTACTGTTACAATTAGATACCAACATGAAATCTTAGGACTATACGCAAAATTAACAAAAACAACATTAAGTTTTAAGCACGTTTTTTGTTGAAATTAATATAGGTAGTTTTTATCAGCATTTAAAGACAACTTAATAATCCTCAACCAGTTAGATAACTTTCTAAATACGACTGAAAACATTCAGACATAATGCTATCGCATGCAACGTTTGGGTCATCTGCGAATAGAAAGACATTTGACTTTGGAGCTGCATGATGCATATCATTTACGTAAATGAGAAAAAGTATTGGTACAAGTACAGATCCTTGACGCTCACCAGTACTGGCTGTGCGCCAATTGAAAACCGTATTGTCTATTTGTACAAACTGTCGCGTATCTGATAGATTGCTTTTAAACCAGTTGTAGCTGTTGCCATGAACTCCATAGCATTCCAATTTATCTTCATTTCTTTAAAAGCCGGCAGTTCGGAGTTTTCAACTCCTTACCTTATTATTTCGGTTAATTCAATTAAAGGATCAATGGTTTGGTAGTTTGTCCAAATCCAAATGGGCGTTTAAAAAATAATTAAAGTGTGTGCTCTATATCGATTTATGAAAAAGTTGAATATAGCCAACAGACATTGGAAAGGGATGAATGAATGCAAGAAAACGGCAAAATATTGAATTAAGCAAAATCAACTTGATGACTGACACTTTTTGATAAACTTGACTCAATGTAAGAAAACTTGATCCGGTTTTTATCGACAGAAACAAACAATTTAACCGGTTTTTCTCGACACAGAAGAAGCATTTTGGAGATTTTTACGCCGTTCAAATCACGCTTGAAAGGGTTTTCGCATAATATATCACTCGACCATCAAACGATTATTTGTGGTAACTGATTTTTTGTACTTCGACTTTAGTAATTCGAGTTTAATGCTAGTTGACTTTTAATGCTAGTTGTCTTTTGTCGCAGTACGCAATTGAACACTAACATTGATGATCTTATCCCCAATTTTCACTATGAATACAAACATGACCTCATTCTGGAAAAACTTGAGAAAACAGGCATTAAACACTTGAACTAACTAAAAGGGACACGTCTAAATGCATTTTCAAAATTTCATGAAAAAAGTTGATTGTAATTTTGCGTTTTGATTTTCTGAAAAATAAAAGGAAATACGAAGAAATAAACAACTAAGGCTAAAGAATAAAGATCATTGGAAGGTATACTTCATTTGATATACTTGCTGCAATCAATTTCATTGACGTTTAAAAACTCCAATACTTTACTAGAGAGCACCAGGAATTAATATGATTTCCAAAGTAATTCTGTTGAATTTCTAAAAACAATACTAGCAATATCTATCACTTTGGAACAGGAGTTTATACACATCAAAATTTTACAATTATGTAACATTGACTTTCATTTGGGATCAGAAACGACATCAAACATCGAACAATTGAAGAATAAATACACAATCGACTGTCATGTTCTGAAGGTGTGCACTGCTCTGACGACATATTGTCGGCAAATTGGGCATTCGGCTAGTTGTTTTCCACAGGTGACACAGGACACCATGTGACCACACTCCAGCAGCACACAATTGATTGGCGCATCCATGCAGATTTTACACGTATCGTCCTAAAAAAACAAGAAACAATTTCCAATTTTTATCAACAAAAAGCCATTAAGCTAAAACACTTATGGCCTTTGGAAAGGATCAGACTAATTAAGATGCGATTAAATTAAGTCGAGATAATTGCCCACCTCGGATATATTCGGCTCGTGGTCATTAAATTTAGCCTTCATGGCTGCAGCTGCTCGTCTCTGTCCTATCTCCTGTCGCCACAACATCTTCGTCTTCTGAACTAACTCGTCTTTTTCACACAGACCTCGTATGACCACAAAATTGTTCACCAGGATCTCCTTAAGCTCACGCACATGTAATTTGTCTATATCCTCTTCGTTGTTGATTGAGCTTAACTGTTTGCGCTCTTTTGGCTGACTTGAAGGCTTTCCGCTATCGTCAGCTGAGCCCTGAAGCCAAAGCAATTAAAGCGGATCATCTCTTCTTTGATACCGTAAAATGCAAATGCAAAACGACCAAAATACATGCCGTTCGACCCTCAAAGTTTTTTTAAAGTATTTTACCGCGACCCCTGGCACGTAACTGTCTGGGGACCTTATTTCTATGGGAGAAATGGAGTTATCGATATCGCCGTAACAGATCTCACGGCAAGTGTTCCGGCCTTAATGAGGCGATTGACGAAGGAAACCCTCCGACTGTGACCGAAGTGGGAACCTAACCCAATACCCTCGAGTTAAAGGCAGCCCTTCTCACCCACTCGACCACGGCCGCCCCACTTACTGTTATTTACCAGGGATTCGACCCCCTCAACTCACAAAGGGGACCCCTTTAGTTTTATTTTACATTCTTTTTTGCCCACCAACTTTTTTAAAAGGTGCCCTTGGTGCCATGTTAACGAACTTTGATGTGCGAACGGGCGTTAAAAAAGGCAACTCAATGGCTGAAACCCTCCAAAAAAGCTCAAAATAAGCCGGAGGCACAGTTGTTTCCGACAAAACAGTGTTTTAGGAAGCCTCGGAAAATCAATTTGGCCGACCTAAAAAAATTGTGACACAATTTTATTATTTTTTTGAAAACCACCCTCCCACTCCTCTCTAGAAAACCCTAGATTCGCCTGTTATGTACTATTCAATAACTATTTTTACTGGCTTACAATTGTTATTCGCCCACGAGTAACGAGTCATCGTCCCGAGAGTACTTACATTAGGCACTGAAGATGAGCCACTGTCGCATTGATAATGTTGCTGTGAGTGGTTGGTTCTGGATGAAGACGAGCTGTCTCCTTGATTATAATTGCTATTGTTGTTGTTGTTATTTCGGTTGCCTGCACCTCCGTTGGTGCTTCCATTATGTTGTGCATCACCATTGGAAGTGAACTGAAATATACCAACTATGCATGCTCAAATATTCATAAACTTCATAATTAAAAAGATATCAAATTATTTTGACGGCTTGAAACAAAATTAATTCGTGAAAACTAATTCGTCTTTTGTGAAGCGCTAAATCGCTTCTTGAAGCGCTAAATTTCGATGGCGCAATCTTTAAGCATTGATATTGAAGGCTTGATTTGATTCATGCAATTTAGGCAAAAAAATGTTTCAAGCATGCAATTTAGGCATGCCAACTTCGGTATTTTTCAAGTGGTTTCCGAAAGCTGGATGCACTCTAAAAAACGGTGTTCAAGCGCTCAAATTAGGCACTAAAATTTTGAAATCGAAAGCTTGAATCGGTTCGTTAAGATGTTTTAAGCAAGCGATTTAGCGCTTCAAGTTGTTGTGATTGCTTCACACGGCTTGCAAAAATTGCTTTTCATATAACATATACGATGATAAATCTTTCTTTGTTTCATTTCCTGGCTAGTTTTGAATTACAACAGCATATGTTTGGAATTTCATAAGCATGGCCTTAATGTTTAATAACTTTTAAGGACCAATACAAAAAAGCTTCATCATATTCCAATTTTCAAAAAGCAAGAGCACCTGATTGGAGTTGGTGTTGTTGTTGGCGTGGGAAGTAGATTGGGACTCCTCCATGACGTCATCCATGAGGAGGGTGACTTGGGGCACATTGGCCAGCAGATTTACCAACTCAGCCTTGGTCAGACAGCCGCGAGTGTCACTCACTCCCTTCGCTCTCAGCTGACGCATCAGGTCACGCACACGCAGACGCACCAGCTGACTCCTATCAAGAACAAGCCTTTTTAAGTCATATTACGCAATTACCAATTACGCAATTTTCCTTTGAAAGTTTTCGAAAGTGTAACATTAAAAAAACTACCATTGTCGATGGAAGTCTCTGGGCTACAAGGTGTTCTGGTTCTATTTTACATTCAACTGACTTGCCTTAGTAGCACTGGTCCCCTGAACACGAAGCAGGAGAGACATGACAAAGAGGGCACTGCAGCTGGCGAGGAGACTCCTCCCCCCGATGATTCACAGGGTAGCACACACGGCTCACAGAAGATCAATTCACAAGTCTCACACTTGATCTGAAATCAAAAATAACACTTTACCAACGATATTCTGATTAGCAGTTTTCAGTAATTTGTCAAACTATCTGTGATCAGCGTTAAGAAAAAACAAGCAATAGAACATATCAAGTCTTTACTTTTTCTCCACCGCTCAAAACGGTTTCAAGTTAATTATTTTGAGGTAGAGTTTTGTAGTGCACGTATCCGAAAATATTCTGTCCACGATTACTCCTTTTTTACAAAGTGCAGCACATTTAGGCCACAAAGGGAACAAGAAAAGCCTTTTTTTTAATGGTTTTTAACAAATTTGTTGGACAACTTTATAAAATTTCCGAAACGATTCTGACATCGAGACAATGAAATGGTGTTGAAATTGATACCAAATTTCAGAATTGCGTTTGAACTGTCAAAACAGCAATGCAACCCGATTGCGCTTTCTAAGACCCATCGATTTATTAATGAACCATTTTTAATTGGCCATCCGTTTTTAAAAATACTTTCAGCTTGGAGGTCAATAATATTTACAAAAAAAGTTGAAGCTGCCAAAAAATTAAGAACTATACACGTACACTGGAACAGCTACTACGATGATAATCACCTGGTCAGTGTATTCTCAATTCATTTTATCCCAAAAAGAATTAGCAAAATAGGCTCGATCGTGATCCCAGGTGCAAATTAGCTCAGTTCAGGGCATCAAACTAATCCCGAAATTAAAATATCTACTGGTTAGACCCTCAAATTGTGCAACCTGTAGTCAAGTAGTAAATAAAGTGCATCACTTTCTTGACTGTCGCTGGCATACCGAAATATCTAGATATCCTGTCTCTGGATTTATCCCCTTAATGCAGCCGCACACGTTCAGCTCACGTAGCACGTAGAGGAGCGGTAGAGAGCTCCTTTCAAGCACTGACTACTACAACGTAGCCGGAGCAATCCAATAGCACAAGACTCTTAACAGCGCAAGATACCATTAAAACCCTTCCAGTGTGGAAACAACGCTTTTTCCATCGCCCATTGTCTTCTGCATTTTCCGTTATTCTCCCACTACTTCACAGAGAAGCTAAGCTCAGCTTCGCACCACTTGCGGTACAACAATGAATGACTATGATTAAAATCAAATAAAAAAATCAAAAATTGAAAGAACCTTCAAAAAATGGTTTTGGTCTAAAATTTAAACTAAAATTGCCTAAAAGCCCAAAATATCCGAGAGAATATTACCTGCACCATTAGAAACATTACAAAAAGCTTTCGGAATGCTACAAAAAAGCCATACTTTCAAAAAAAGTCTTTCCGCGGAAACTAAGCCGACAAAAATAAGCAAATAGACAGTAATCTAAAATAGACAAAAATTATCACTTTGAAAAAAAACAGGTCCCGACTCGAATAGAGCACCCGGCTTTGTCGTCTCACGAAAGAGTACTACAGCAACCTACAGAAAAGCTTAAAATAAAAAAATGGTCAACGGGAACTAACTGACAAAAAAGCCGTTCTCGTCTTAAGCAGGTATGTGAACTTTAACCCAATTGCGCTGGGTGGCTGATTAATTTTGAATTTAATATGAAGCAAGCTGAAACATCTGCCAATCTTGAACAAAGTTGTTTACTGGAGAAACAACTTTGTTCACAATAGTGGAATTTGTTTATGTTTTTTGACAAGTCTGGTACCAAAAAATAAACATGCCCGGGCAGATTCGAACCAGATGTCGTTGCCGCCTCAAGTGATTGCGTTACCTCGGCGCCAGATGGTTGATTGAATTCAAAAAATACCATAGTAGAATAAACAGTCAAGTCAAATCTGCCAAACAAAACTTTACAGAAAATAAAAAAATTGGAAATTTTTGGACATTTAAATAATACGCTGTGCCATCATCTTGAATGAATTCAAAACTAAATTGCTCAAAAAGATTATGAGTCTACATTGCTTTCAGCTGACTGCACACACTCTCAGAACTAAAAATACATCGAAAACCAAGTGAACAAATTAAAACAAGAAAATCGTAAAATCTAGTTCCATTCCTCAAAAATGAATTGAAAAAAAAAAAAAAGTTGAATAAAATTTTACCACAAGCACCCCGCAAATAGGACGGCAAGCATTTGGACGAAGTCAATTAAGCCTACAAAAAATAAATTTTCATCTGAACATTTTTTCAGCTGTAGCCCAAGTAACTCATTGAGTATAAACACAGAAACTCTAGACCAAGAACTAGAGCTGCTAAGAGTGCAACATGGGTGAAAAGGGAGATCTTCTGAAATTTGAGATCCTGTGAACAAAATTATTTATGAAAAAAAAAACAATTGTACCCTGGTCGCAATTTTAACTACCTCAGAGAAAGCTCGATAGGAATTAAGCCTGGTATCATAAGAAAAAAAGCGATGATTCGGATTTCAAAGATAAATTCTAAAAATTTGTGTTACGAGCGAAAATTTGTCAAAGAAAACTCGGTTTTCAAATCAGTGAGACAAATTGATTAAAGGCCTGCTTTTAAAATTCATTCTTCTTCAATTAAAAAATATACATGTCAAAAAAAATTAACATACAATTAAAAAAAAATTAACATTCTTTATTGCATTTGTTTAACCTAAATCAATGGCTTTTTTTGAGAAAAAATAACTGATATTTGGAAAGGATGCCATATTCAATCATCTTGTTGAAAGAATCAGGTTAAAGGATGATTATAGAAAAAAAACTGGGATTAAGTAACATCCTCCCCCATATAGACCAATATAACATCCTCAATACTGTTCCGTGCACTTCACGCAGTTTGGCTAACTCAACGAAAAAAATAAAGGGTTTCACCAGTGGTATTCTAATGAAGCCCTTTCAGCTCTGACTTGGACTTCAAAAAATGAAAAGGTTGTCTCACTGAATTTTACATATGCTAACAAATTGCCAATGCGATGCAGTAAAAGTGACACCAAATAAAAACAGACGCAACTTTGCGAGTAATAGTATAGCAATCTGACGGCATCTACACTAATTATGCATGTAATCAAAACTAGCATGTAACGCACCTACGGTGCTTCGAATTTTTGAAAACTCATGAAAAACTGCACACATTGGACCACAACCACATTGGAAACCAGATCTCGAAAAAATCAAGTCTCCAAAAGTAGAAAAACCTGAGCAGCCATATTTGCAGGCAAGATTTACAACTCCTGGGAGTACCCTGGCAGCATCCAATTACAGGGTTGGGATATTTAAATTTTGAGAATTTTTCGAAACCTAAGTTAATTGAAAAATCATTTAAAAAATCCTCATATCTCGAAAACTGCCAGAATTTGAGCAGCCATGTTTGGAGGCAAGATTCGCAACCCCTATGAGTACTCTGACAGCCCCCACTAAAGGGTTGGAAATTTCAATTTTTGAAGGAAAAAACTTTGTTTTTCTGAAAACTTTTTTGCAAAAAATCACAAAAAAGTCATTTCTCAAAAACTACCAGGAATTGAGTAGTCATATTTGGAGGCAAGATTCGCAAATCCTGAGAATACTCTGACAGCCCCCAACTACAGGGTTGGGAATTTCAAATTTTGAAGAAAAAAATTTAAAAAAATTGTTTGGGTTTACTGAAAATTTTTCGAAAAAAATCACAAAAAAAACGTCATATCTCAAAAAATTTAAGGAATTGGGGAGTCATATTTGGAGGCACGATTCGCAACTCTGAGAGTACCCTGACAACAACAGGGTTGGGAATTTCAAACTTTGAAGAAAAAAATTAATTTTAAGTTTTTTGAAAGTAGACAGCAAGTTTGAGAGTACCCTGACAGCACCCAACTACAGGGTAAGGAAAGATAGAAAAAATATAGAAAATATAAAAAAAGATAGAAAAAAAAGGTAGAAAAAGATGCAAAAAAAAGATAGAAGAAAAAATATACAAAAAAAATAGAAAAATAGAAAAGATAGAAAATCCAGATAAAGATACAGAGAGATTGGAGGCAACCGTTTGACAGTAACATTACTTTGAACTAAATCGTCGAAACCAAATTAAAAATTAGGAGACTGGTAGACACACATTATCAAATTAATTAAAAAAGCAGGTTTTCAGACAGAGAGACAGACTTCATTTGGCCTCGAAAAAAATTACTGAAAAATTAATGACCTTGCGGAAAACTGATTGAAAAATTTTCTTAAGCATTACAATATATGATATAGCTTAAACATGAAAAAATTCTTTCGTTAAACATGCAAAATTATCAAGCTTAAAAATGGGAGATAGCTGTCACTAGCATTTAAATGTAGTATAGATAGATTGGAAAGCATAACGCCACATTGTATAAATATAGAATTTTAAAAAATTGCAAGATATATTGAGTTACAAAAATTTCTGAAATCGAGTTTTCATTATTGTTATGTTGTTTGAAACAAATAGCTTTTTTCAATTCAGTTAATGAATTTAAAATGTATCAAATAAGTTACTTTATTACTATTCAAATTTCAAAGCAAAAACTATCAAAAAGCGGTAAGAGTGCCCCAAAATTGGCACCAATATTTGCAAATTAGGTTAGAAAAAAAGAATAGTCGTAGTAAAACACTCACGCTCACTTAATTTCGCTAGTGTGAACAATTAAATTACAAGTCAACAAAATTGAGTTCAGTGCAATCAAATTTCGAAAAATTTGTTCTTCTGATAATCGGAGCCATTCAGACCAATTTTTTCTCAACACTGATATAACTTCTTCAAAATCAACAACTTTGTTAAATCCAAATCATAGCTTCCAACACCTAGAATGTTCAGAACGATAAGCAGCAAAATTCGTTAAAAGAAGAAAAGTTTGAAAAAACAAACCTAAAAACAATTGGAAAAGTGACAAGTAAAAAATGAGAGAACATTGATTGCGAGCGATACATATTTCACAAAAATAATTCATTTACAGAAAACTTAAGCAAACTCCTTCTTTTCGCTGGGAAAACTAAACATATCATTGAAAAGATTTAACGAACACAAGGAAGCAGAAAAAAAATTGAATTAATACTGAAACTTTCGAAATTCAAAAAACTATATTTGGCCAAAAAACTTGTTTGGAATTTATGATTGACACTATTTTGGATAAAATAACCCAATATGAGAAAAATGGATCAATGGATAATTTTTTTTAATTCCGACGGGAATTCGGCAGATCAATATTGGCATTTGCCTTGCTTTGAACAACAAAAAGATGAATTAAGCTTAGAAGTCAAACCGCAAAAAAAAAACAAGTATAGCCGGTTACTGTGCAAGGAGCACAAAAAGTTCCGACTAGTTTTTTAAAAAATTTACAAGAACTTTTTTTTCTAATCAGTGCAGTTTTTCTGCTTGGTGTGATAAAAGGATCTGACATAAAAACTATGATGTAGGCATATTCGACAGTCATAACAATATAGGCAAACAGGACAACAGATTTTGAAGAAAAATGACTAGAAAAACAAAATATGCAAAAAAAAATAAAACTCACAACAAAATAAAATTAGCAGAAATTTTTTGAATTTTCTGATTCCCAAAATGGAATTAAAAATCTCTTAAAACTATTTTTTTCGGGTAAAAATTAAAAAAAGCATAAATAAGATGTTTTAAACTGCCTAGTTTAAGTATAAATAAGCATGCTCCCTCGCTTTACTCGCTCGAATTTAGACGAAAAATTTCAAACCGGTTTTTCTCGACACTGAGAAAGTTGTTCGAAAAATTTTGAATATCATTCAAATCACGACTGAAAGGGCTTTAAAATCATATATCACTCACCTCTCTCCGTAGATTTGTTGTGGCAGCTGATTTTGCGAGGAAAATAAAAAGAACTAAAACACCGAATACAAAGTTCCTCCCCATTTTTCAAATGGCCGAATCAATCAAATTTGAGCGTGAACAAACTTTACTGAAAAAAAAACAAGACCTATATATGAGTGACAATCACTCCACTTTTTTACATTACAGGGAAGATCAGTTGGATCCGATAATCAAGTACAACTGAGTTTAAACTTTGCCTTTCTATTATATAGACCGGGCATTTTTGGATTATCGCGTTAATAAGTGTCTTGTCGACTCCGTGAGTTGTATTTCTTGTATGACAAAAGAGCAATTAGTAGCAAAATGCTATTGATTTCAGGCATACCTTTCTGCTGAGTAGGTTAAACTGTGAAGAGCAGGATGCGCAGGGCATATCGGCTGAGGAACTGTTGCTGGTGCTACTGTTGCTTCCCACTCCTGCCCCGCCCCTGCTCCGACTGTGATTGGTCAGAAGTATTCCTCCTGAGGAGGATGATATGTGACTCGGATGCGACGGGTTGTTCGACCTAACATCAAATCGACCGACTTGATAACTGAATTTAATAGCTGACATTAAAGATCAGGTGCTTAATGTAGAAAATGCACTGAGCGTTGATCATCGTCATAATCAAATTTGAGTTCATTTCTATCACTCCATTTGAAAATCAAAGATACTTGTTTTGTTCATGAACGCTTGCGTCTTCAGCTTCGAGCCAATGATGAATCTGATCACGCTCTGATCTACGCATGTAAAAATCTGGGCGGTTGCGTTCTGAACTAAGCCAACAGGTGATTAAAAACTGTAACTTTACATTATAGAAAAAAACGACAAACTTTGTTTGAATTTGAGTAGCGTCGAAGCTACTATTTGCGCAAACAAACGAAAAAGTGGAAACAATCGTGATCTTTAATTTCGACTAGATTCGAACTCAAACCTTGAAAGGATCGAAACTTCTGGTTTAACAACCACGCTTTAATCAGTAAACAATTTAAGTTTCATTTGAACAGATACAGCTCTGTTAATTTACCGCAATAAATTTGCAAATAGTAGCAAGGGCCTTGCGTCTAACGAAACTTCGGTTTGTAAAAAGTAAGTCGTACTGAAATATGACAAAACATATTTATTATCTTAAAGCACTCAATCCTAACTTAGTTTACTTACTGATTCTATCGTTTAAAAACTTAGCCAATAGACAGTGGGAAGAGTTTATGAAAGCAAGGAAACAGAAAGAAAAAACTGACTTGTTTTTTGAAAAACAAAAAATATGTGACTTTAAAGTACTTGCAGTTTCTAAAACCAAATATGGTTTACACTTTATTGATAAAAAATTACCCATTTTGAAAAACGTGCTTCAAAAGTGCTTATTCCTCTGGTTAATCTGATAATTAAAATCCACTTTCGCAGATAAATATCAAGTTAAAAGCTTTTGGACATTTGGACAAAATTAGATCAGCATACATTTTTATTTCGCTAGGATATCGCAACACTTTCGTAAATTTTATACTTTTGCTGTTCGATAGTGAAGTTTGCCTTCCTTTAAACAATGTGAATGAACTGAACATTAAGAAAAATAGCAAAAGTCAAATTTGAGAGCAAGCAAAAAAATCAACACCACGTATTGAAGTTTTCACAGAAATTATTGACTCTTAAAATAACACAAATACGCCCGAACACAACTTAATTTTAATTTCAAGGTCTCAAAAATATTTTTCAAACTATTCGCAAAACACCAAAAACATGCTTTGACCACCTATTATTAGAAATATCATCACAAAGGCAAAGCTGTGCTTCGCAAACACTAGCAAGAACACGAAAAAAGCAGCTCTATTAAGTGCAATAAGAAAAAGTAGAAATTGTCGATTTTCAATAGTCGGAACAATTGGGCTGAAATAACCAAGAAGATTGAGCAACTTTTTTACACAAGCTCTCAATATTCACAAGCGCCTTGCTGGGTCCGCAAAAACTGAAGAAAATCTTAATCTCCAAAACAACGAGTGATTTATTGAGCTCTATACAAACGCGCAATCAACAGCAGAGGATTCAAAATCTAGCATCACAACATGGGCAAGTAAAATGTAAAATGACAGACGCGGCGCATAAAACTGCTTTGACGGGGAAAACACAAATTGCAGACGATTCTAAGCATTGGAAACGTTTACCTTCAAGAAACATTTCAAGGGCTCTGCACCTCAAACACATACTCTGATAACTCTCATCTACTTAAACAGAAAAAAAGGTGCAATTAAGCCAAAAGAAGCTTGGCAGATAAATGGAAAACATGGCCAATAGACAATTGGAAAAGAGCCAATGAACGCAATTGAACAGATAAAATACCAATTTTTTTTCTTTCGAAGTTCAAAGAAATTAAATAGATGCCCTTAAAGCATTTTGAGTTTCTTGAAAACTTTAAGGGCATGTATTGGCACAGTATGATTGGCACTTCGTAAATTAACCAATTTGAGAAAACTGGATCAAAAGAAAACTATTTTCGCTGGAAAATCTGAAAACTAAATCCAACTTTGAAACTAGAAGTCGATCATGTTTTTCGAGACCTTTACACTTTTGCTGTTCAATAGTGGAGTTTGCTTTTTGAGAAAAAGGAAACAAATTGAACTTAAAAACAAAATCCAAACCGCAAAAAAGTGAACTTGAGCCTGGACAAATTTAAAGACTTTCTCTGAAAACAAAAACCGAGTCATAATGACTTTTATAAGAGTACTCACTACGGTCATTACTCTCAAATAATTTGAACTTATTAAATTTGTGAGAAGAACTTTAATTGAACTTTGACCACCTATTATTAGAAATATCATCACAAAGGCAAAGCTGTGCTTCGCAAACACTAGCAAGAACACGAAAAAAGCAGCTCTATTAAGTGCAATAAGAAAAAGTAGAAATTGTCGATTTTCAATAGTCGGAACAATTGGGCTGAAATAACCAAGAAGATTGAGCAACTTTTTTACACAAGCTCTCAATATTCACAAGCGCCTTGCTGGGTCCGCAAAAACTGAAGAAAATCTTAATCTCCAAAACAACGAGTGATTTATTGAGCTCTATACAAACGCGCAATCAACAGCAGAGGATTCAAAATCTAGCATCACAACATGGGCAAGTAAAATGTAAAATGACAGACGCGGCGCATAAAACTGCTTTGACGGGGAAAACACAAATTGCAGACGATTCTAAGCATTGGAAACGTTTACCTTCAAGAAACATTTCAAGGGCTCTGCACCTCAAACACATACTCTGATAACTCTCATCTACTTAAACAGAAAAAAAGGTGCAATTAAGCCAAAAGAAGCTTGGCAGATAAATGGAAAACATGGCCAATAGACAATTGGAAAAGAGCCAATGAACGCAATTGAACAGATAAAATACCAATTTTTTTTCTTTCGAAGTTCAAAGAAATTAAATAGATGCCCTTAAAGCATTTTGAGTTTCTTGAAAACTTTAAGGGCATGTATTGGCACAGTATGATTGGCACTTCGTAAATTAACCAATTTGAGAAAACTGGATCAAAAGAAAACTATTTTCGCTGGAAAATCTGAAAACTAAATCCAACTTTGAAACTAGAAGTCGATCATGTTTTTCGAGACCTTTACACTTTTGCTGTTCAATAGTGGAGTTTGCTTTTTGAGAAAAAGGAAACAAATTGAACTTAAAAACAAAATCCAAACCGCAAAAAAGTGAACTTGAGCCTGGACAAATTTAAAGACTTTCTCTGAAAACAAAAACCGAGTCATAATGACTTTTATAAGAGTACTCACTACGGTCATTACTCTCAAATAATTTGAACTTATTAAATTTGTGAGAAGTTGCAGGCAAAAGAGTATTTTAGTTCTAGATTATGTTGACCACTAAAGGTTCTGTTAATACAAACAATCTGACCAACCTTTGTCGTGGATAGTCGTTAGGCAGACCACTGTAGTTAGATGTAGGTACTGTTTGATTATTACTGTGACGGTTCTGGTTTCCCTTCGGACTTCTGCTAGCACCGGAGCCCATTACCAGACAAAAAGTCCAGGCAACCGGCAACGAGCAATCTATTCTCACATACAGTCTGACAAGCCTTTTTCATTTTATCCATTAATTTACAGACGTTAATTTGATCCCGTAAGGTGACCTTTGCAGCACTCCGTCTCTAGTTGTTGGCTTCAAAATTCGGACACGTAGTAGATGCGAACGAGTTAAACAGAGCTTGGTTACTAGTCAATCATAATTCCTCGTACCAAATTATCTGAAAGTTGTAAAACTTGTTTAATAAAAGCAGTTCTTCTATTTGTCAGAAAAATGTATTCGGCTTTTGTCTACGTCTATGCTTAAACGGTTGGCTGAACGTTGAGTTCTAGATTGAGAAAAACTAATATGCAAATAAATACCTTCAGACTTTCGGACCCTTATTAGATTCGCCAATTACAGCGCGCCATTTGACAGACTTTCGAGAGAAGCATGATGTCATGATTAAAAGTGGTATTATGGAACCGTACTTTTCTCTAATAAACCTTCAACGCTTACATGTTTAGCTTTGTAAAAAGCACAAACAAATCACTTTTCAGAAAATACCAATGGCTTTTCACAAGCTCCAAATATACGTCGCGTCATAAAACCAACATTGTCTGTGAATATAGCGAAGTTTTTTGACGCTATTTTTATTTCCATTTGCGTAAGAGTTTGATGACACATTTCAGCTTCAGGGAGCTTCAGTTTAGGCTTTTCAAAAACAATTTGTTCGTACCATGAGATAACTAAAATTTTAGCTGAAATACTTAAGAAGAAATGTACATGAATAACCATGTCTCGATCTAAGGTTCTCTTCGGTCAAAAGACAGATAGTTGTCTAATCTAAACTAATTATATTCATTTGAACAAGATTGTTTTTCATCTACTATCTGCTCAAGTTAGTCAGTCAGTCGTAGCCCAGCGATGGTACAATGCAGTGCAATACAAATCAATTCATCATCATTATGGTTCTTGTACACTTCAGTGGGAGGCTGCGGCTGTCTGTTTGGTGCTTTTGCCCTTCGCCTGTTCAAATTCTGCCATGCGCCTCTCTAGCTCAGGTCTGAAGTGACGAATCAGTCCCTAAACCAGAAAACTATAAGGTTTTTATCAGCTCAAGGGGAAGTATTTCCCATGTATCAATTTGATATTCATACTATTTCTTTGTAACATCAAGTATACAAAATTTTAGGTCCCATGAACTAAATCAGAAACTGATATCAGGGGCGGATTTAGGGGGGGAAAGGGCGGACGCCCCCCCCCCCTCAGGGATTGAACTCCTTGCCGACCCAAAGGGTCCCCTTTGGTACTTTTTAAGAAATCCATTTGTGGTGACGGACCCTAAAATTTTTCTTAAGGCGCCTTTGGCGTCAATGTATACTAACTTTGAGAGGGAGCGCGCGCGTCAAAATTTTCCAAAAAGTGCCCAAAAACGGCTTTTTGAACTTTCTTCAAAAATTTCCCTGCGGCGCAGAAAATTTGGCCAAAACAGCTTCTTCTTAGTGCTTTAGGAGAGCTCCGAAAATCAATTTGGTCGACCTAAAAAAAGTCCAATTTTCGAAAGTTTTTTGAAAATCCGCCTCCCCCCCGCGAGAAAATCATCCTAGATCCGCCCCTGACTGATATCTACAATTTTTCGTAGAAAGATGGTCAGTAAGGACTTTTACGTCACTAAAGCTATAAAACGATGAACTTGGAAAAAAATTCTATCTAAACCAGAGTACAGTTTCTTGAGAAAACGCAAAGCAGGTCACGTGATTTTCTTGAAGCGATTGAGTAAAAGAATTTAAGCAACAATAAATTCGCTTGTGTAATTACGCCGGTGCTTTAGCTATGTACCTGTACTGGCCAAGCGGCTGCATCTCCGAGTGCACAGATGGTGTGCCCCTCAATCTGCTTGGTCAATTCCCACAACATGTCTATCTCCTGTGGCTTCGCATTACCGCTCACGAACCTGGCCATTGTCTTGTCCAGCCATGTTGTACCTGGGAACAATTACGCATATTAAGAAAACGTATAATTGCAATTACTCGTGAACACCGCCACTAACAGTTGGAAAACTGTCGAAGAGATTTGAACTTTTTAACTTCAACTTTCTTTTGAACTTTGAAGAAAAGATGTATCAGATAACAGCGCTTTGAATTTCAAAAATTTGCATGATTGCCATTTTTTAAGCCGACCAATTAGAAAAAAGAAAGTAATCAAAAGAGTTTTTTCTGATGTCAAAAGCTATACTGAAAACTAATCAAAAGTTGGAAAAGAGTCAATGAACGCAATGAAACAACAAATCATACTCTGTTTTTTGAAACAACAAAATCAACTTTCGAATTTCAAAAAAAAAACATATGATTTTATAGCTCGTTGAACAATTTCAGATTGCCACCAATTTCTGAATATAAATCTCTAGCAGTTCAACCTCGGAGCGATTGCTCCTTAGGCGGGACGCTAATTCAATGATATATACATAACAAAAGAACCCATCTCTAGCATAAATTTTTGCACTTCTCGTTAAGGACCAAGTACTTTTTTGTAAATTGGGGTACACATGTAGGAGGTGTTATAGAAATTGTTTTTTTTGAACGGTGTCTTTTTGCTTTGCAAGTTTTGAATGAATTGTTTTCTATATGCTGGGATGCGGTCCAGTAAAATTTGACTGTAGTTTAATGCCAGCTATCTACAGCGTTTGTTGTTCTGGATGATGCAGCATCTCGGTGATTCCATAGTGAAGAAGGGAATAAGATTAAAATCTGGTAAATCTTAAAATCAAAATCCACCTTCAAAAATAGGGATCAATTACGTTTTTTCGCACCATTTCCACTTAAGTTATTGGAGATGATTTCTGCTAAGGTTACTCATCTGCCCATGATTTAAGCAAATGAATTTGAATTGAACGCAAAAAATGCATAAGCACCTGAGCCCGTGCTCATAAATTGAGTGCGTGTTTGAAACGAGGGGTGAACATAAACATGTAGTTTTTACGGAAAAACCTGATACTAGACTAATTTTGAAAAAAAAAATCAAGGATCTGAGCACTAGTAATAACCCAACCGTCGCAGTTGCCACCACAAAGATGCCAATAACAGACGCCATTGTCACTCAACTAGTTCTAAATAAACTCGAACTGCACAACGCACGCACCAGCAGCGAGAAAAGATTTAGCAGTCGCCCCAGCAGCCAAGAAGTTTGAAAAACCCGAACTATTCAAAAACTTTCGATTATTTGAAAATGAACTGTAACCCTAGTTTGCTTTTGAAAAAGAAGAAATCGAAAACTCAAACGATAAAACAGTCGAGGAAAATCGAGTCTTGTACCAAATCGAGATATCTTATTCCCTTCTTCACTATGGAATCACCGAGATGCTGCATTATCCAGAACATACGCTGTAGATAGCTGGCATTAAACTACAATCAAATTTTAGTTGACCGCATCCCAGCATATAGAAAATAATTCATTCGAAACTTGCAAAGCAAAAAGAAACTTCCGTTCAAAAAAAACAATTTCTATAACACCTACATGTGTACCCCAATTTACAAAAAAGTACTTGGTCCTTAACGAGAAGTGCAAAAATTTATGCTAGAGATGGGTTCTTTTATTATGTATATATTATTGAATTAGCGTCACGCCTAAGGAGCAATCGCTCCGAGATTGAACTGCTAGAGAAGAAATTTTCAAACACGACTCAAGACATTTGTGTTTTTTTTACGTATCCGGAGATTTTTCTCAAAAAATCTTGACAAATTAAGTTTTAATTCAAAAATATATCTGAAGAAAAAATCTCTAGCTGAAGTTCGCCATAGCGTGAGAAAAATGCAAATCATTTTTTTCGTAATTAAGTATAAAATGCTGCACTTTTTCGTTTAGGACCCGGTTTACTTGATATACTGCAATGGTAAATAGGAGTTGATATGAAACAAACTACCGGTATCAATGGGGATTAAATTGTTATGGGGTTCATTTGTTACGGGGTTATAAAACAGTGGGTTAAATAACGCGTGATTATAGGATGGGACAGCTTTTGGATTAGAGGTTGGCAAATCCTTTGGACGGACATTGCGTTGTAGGCCAACAATTCAAAAAAAAAGACAAAAATGAAAAGAATGGTTAAAAAATTATATAAATTTTAAATTAAAATGATTGGTGTTTGAATAAAGCTTACAATAGATTAACTTTTTGGTCTTCACCAGAAAGCATTCGATATTTCATGTAAATTTTTATTTTAAAATTTTATAGAATTTTAAAAATTTTTTTATCATAACTGAACTTAAATTTTTTGTATCAATTGTTTTATTATTGACAGAAATATATTCAAGATCAATCTCGAGTTCGGAAAAATTTGAACTTTTTCGGACACTAACGTGAATCTTGTCGGTCGGAATAGTTTTCAATTTCATATAAAAGTCTAGACTCGGCAAGATCAAATTTATTCAGATCTAGACGGCATTCAACAGCGCGCATGTTATCTCGTTTTGTTTCGCAAAAATTATTAATGAAAGCTTTGATGTTTACCGACACTATGGTTCCGAATCACTTCCAAGTATATTTTACTTCAATTTAAACAAATATCATTAAAAATGGGTTTAATTGTGTTGGGGTTATCTATTTTAGGGGTTAAAGCGATGGAGTTAAGAAATAGGGGGTTCAAAGACGCGGAGTTATGAGATATCGAACCTGCATTATTATGCAGGAATCGCTTCTGTAGTTATAAGGGCATTCAAAGATATTTTCCTTAAAAAACATTAGAAAAATCATCATTAATCACCTGGAATTGAACTGAACGACAAAATAATCAAAAGTCAAACCGCGAAAAACCAAATTCGAGCATCATCAAATTTGAATACTTTTCATGAATTAAGAAAATCAAGAATACATAAAAACCTATACATATGAGTCTTCACTATGTTCATTGACTTTTTAATAAAAAATTCTTCCAAACTCACACAAATAAATAAGTGTCTAATCTTCCTTCAGTGACATTTAAAACTCTAATGTGAAAAAATGTTCTGCACTAAGCAAATTCTTGAAAACAGACCAAAGTGGCGTTTTTGAGCCTTTGTTGAAAGATTTAGACCAAAAAAATTGCCTATTGTTTTTGCGCGCGCCTCAAACTTTTGGGTTTTATAAAAAAAAAACTATATATGGTCAGAGGGTGAAATACATAAGAGGGACGACGCCAGCCTAAATTCGCTACTGAAAAACAGATGGTTCAATTCTCCGCTTCTGGCTACGGCCGCTTGCATAAAGTGGGAAAAAGCGATAGCGAAGGGTTATGCTATGCGAGTTCTACTTTTGGATTTCGAGCAAAAAATTTTGACAATCTTTGAGCATTCATTTACCATGCTATCAACAAATGAATTTAAATTAAAGTCAAGACAAGAACTATCCAATTTGACATCAAGACGGCTTTTATAAGTGCCTTCAATGCAATCATTGACACTTAACCGCCTCTAAACTCGCCCTTTCCAGGTAAGATTATCTATGCTCAGCGAGAACTCAACAATTCTTCGCCTTTCTGTTTAACTGAAATTTTACTTTTTGTTGTCGTGTGCATTACTGACCTTCTCTGCAGGGGGTGCACTGTCCGCAGCTCTCGTGTTTGTAGAAAGTGATTAGTCTGGCGATGGCCTGCACAATGTCGTACTGTTTATTGATCACAATGATGGCCGCAGTGCCCAGACCACTCTGCACATCCACAAGGGCATCGAAGTCCATCATGACGTCATCACAGATGCTACACAAACCCAAACAACAGAGAAGCAATTAAAGCGTGAAAAAACAGCTTTTTGTCGACGGATAGAAAATGACCAGGAATTTTGTTTAAGGCATGTACAAGATTACAAAAATGAAAGTGCTTGAGCCAAATTAGCTTGAATTTTGCACAAACTCTCGTATAACTATCGATCAAAAGCTATTTGAAAAGACAATAAAGTTATCGACGCATAAAAAACGGCGAATCGCAAAATTCTAACGTGCCAATCGCAAAAATTGACTTCGAATCAAGCAGTTTACATAAATAATCCGCCTAATTAATTGGAATCAGAGAAACTTAAAAAAGAAAATCAAGGAAACATTGAAATCCATGTGCAACCAAACAAATCAAACAATCAAATTCTAAGAAAAGGTAAAACCATCGTCTAATATAGAAAAGAATAGAGTGATCAATCTACACGGTTCGTTTTCTAAATGGAATTCAACTAAACCACCAAAAAACACACCTCAGCTCTACCCCCTTGACCCGGCTGTAATCAAAACACATGGCTGTCATCAAAACACGACGACGACATGGAGGACCGGACACGCCTTCGTTAGTGGACTCCAGAACTTCAAGCAGCCATCAACTCATCGTAATTCACGACATTCATCAGCAAAACTATTGAAAACTTTCGAACGCTTGGATCCAAAGACGACTTGAACGCAACAATTTACGTTCTATTTGCCGGCAGCAAACTGCAGCACCAGCAGCAAATTCAATCGACGTAACACATCACCCAAAACATCGACCAGCCTAACCTGATCGCCCCTAACGATTGGATAAGACAGTTGGCATTCGAATGCGATCAATTACCACCCACGCAGCCACAGCAGGTGAGCCACGACTCGAGTGATAGACACCGAGAACTTTCACGACATCGACACGCCAACCAGGACCTTTAAAAAGTTAATCGTATAATGGGTAAACAATTAATTGATCGCAGTGCTATTTCTGCCAGTGCAAATTGCTCGTTGGACGCCGGTTATTAAATTTAAATTATTTCGATGTAAAAGCACTTCAGATTTACATTTCAGCGTAGTTTACTCACACACTGTTGTTGCCATTTTACTTGGAAATTACTTTAGGGCAAGATAATTGATACAAAAACCTTCAAGATGCTCTTAAAGACGAACAAGTTCTTTTAGCAAAGAAAAATTGTGCTAAAAGCCGTGAACGGTTCAAAGTTCTAGTATGCCTGATTTGTGACACCAGATAAAATTAATACTCAACTTTGCAGCCTCAGATTAAATTTGCTGGTCCTGACGACAACGGATCTCGACCATCAACCAATCAGCCCACACAACAGTCACCAGGAAACTGGAATACCTTACCCGGCCCCATGCCAAGTCTAAGGATAACACTATCACCCAGCAGTTACTGAGGACGTTACCAAGAATCGTCTTTGGAAGTAACAAAGAAACTCGCTATGGGCAAAAACTCCCTGGTGCAATTCCCTCGGGCAAGAACATCCAGTGAAAGATAGCCCATCAAAACAGAATTAGCTTCATTATTCAACATTGCACGACGATCGAAGCCCGTAGTTCAACATCAACCAAGCTACCCAGCCAGTCAAAATCCAACGCTTGTTATGGCCAATTCACTCCTCCATTTAGTACCAGTGGCTTTCCAGAATTACCGCAGATTCATCGACAGCTAATTATCGCAAAAAAACAGCAAACTTTTAGGAACAGTAAGAAACAAAACACATCAGCGAGATCCCCTTTGAGGATTCTTTGACTCGCATATTATGGATGATCTTTGATTAGCCAGAAAAGTGGATCTCACAATTCACCCTTTCGGGAACTTTTGGACAGCAATTAATCTTTGAAACACTTTTATCAAGGATAGCATCACCGTCATCGCAGCAGAAACTGACAAAATCAACGGCATCTGTAGAGAACTAATCACGTGAATCACATTACCTTTCTAAGATAAGCAACAACTCAATATGCAATGAACTCAGCTCTTGGAAGGACAACCGCAGGACCACTACAAAAGTTACGAAGTTTGCAAAGCAAGGATGGGACCTAAAATATTTGACAACTTTACATACAACTGAAGACAACATGTTTAGATGTTAGTGGCAAGCTCATATTTCGAATCAAAGAGTATGCTTAATATCTGACAAATTGCTACTTTCCAATCATACACATTCCAAACACACCTACGATAGTATGCTGCTCACAAATTTCAACACAGAGGCGAAGTTGCACTTCGCATACACAAGCAAAAATATGACCGATAATGCAACTGGGAAAAACTGAATTAGAAAAACTTTGAACCAACAAAATTTCTTAAGTGACGCACGCCAATTATGAGTCTACATAACTGCTAAAAGACACAAGCCAATTATGACGCATTAGTAGTACCAGTCAATTTGAAAACACTTCAACTAACATGCCACAAATTATAGATCCGACTCATTTTAACTAGCATACGAAAAAGTTCATTGAAAACATCCGACCCTGCCCAGGTTTGAACCCTCTTATTTTGCTGCTGTTCTCCTTCCCTACTTCTACGCTACAGATCCATGATACCTTGAATCTAAAGTGCTATTTGTAATATAATAGTGTGTTGATATCCTTAGCATTGACTGTACTTAATAGCTGGATTAAAATGAACACTCTCGAAATGAACACATTTGCATCGCAGCAACGTTTGCGACTCAGGTTGGGAAAAAAACAAGAGAAAAGAGAAAGTTAGAAACACGAAAATGAACATTTCGACGAGGACTAATTATCGAAGCAAAAAAAGATGCATCACAGCTTGATAGGCAGGGGCGAAGACAACACTCTCCCTACGTTCGACTCTTTTTGCTTATTCCGCCCAGAATCAATATTTCAGCAACTTGAATTAAAACTCGAACAGTTGGTGTGCTGCTCGAATATGATTGGCCAATTTCTTGCTATCAAAATGAAGCAGCACGCTAAACTAAGCAGCACGTCATTAATTTTTAAATATACAACTTTGGTCAAATAATCAAATTGATTTCAAATCACTTATCAAACTTTGCCCGGATAAAAAAAATCCGTTGAATGGCTCCAGCAGAATACAAAACTTGAGCAACCCTCGAATTTGTTCGAAGGGACACGAAATGAAACTAGAGCTTTCAGAGAAAGATTCTAGATGGCGATGTCGAAAAAACGATTGTAATGAGGTCCATGGTTGGCGAAAAAAAACACTTTTTTTGGAAAACACTAACATACCGTTAGATGATATAATTTTTTCATCTATGCCTGGGCCTATGAACTCTCAAATAAGAAACTTTGCGAAAGAACCCGAAATAAATGGAAAATCATCCCTCGACTCAAACACTTATATGCGAGAAATTTGTGCGATGGCTCTTTTAGAGCAACCTACAATTATTGGGGGGATTGTCGAAATTGATGATAGTTTATTTTCGCGACGAAAAAGTAATATTGGCCGGGTTTACCCCGAACAATGGGTTCTTGGGTGTTATTGTCGAGAAACTAAGGGAAGTTCTCTTTATGATGTTCCTGGTCGCACCGCCTCAATCCTTATCCATATTATTCGGGCACGCTTATTTGATCAGACGAATGGACAGCTTATAGTGGTATCATTAATGAAGAGTATCAACATGAAACGGTAAATCATAGCCAAAATTTTGTCGACTCATTTTATTTCTGCCACATGAACTCTATCGAAGCGAAAAGCAAAAATGAGAAATAAGCGTCAGTTTGGGACAACCAGATCACAAATGGACTCGTATCTATCAATATGAATTTATGTGGAGAGAGAAAAATTGTGAATAATCACAACCAATTTGCTCAAATCATCAGAGAAATTGCCGACTTTTGGCCAGCACCATATACTTTCTTTAATTGCTTTGTGAAACTCTTGTAATAATACGTTGAAACTGAGCAGTCTGTTTAATTTGAAATTTTTGTTTGTTTTCATTTTGGGCGGAATAAGTGAATAGACTCCTACTTTCTAGCTTCATTACTTTGTTGCTTCGATCCTTAAATGAAAGTTCCGTAAGCTTGCATTCCACCACAAATCAGAAGATGTATGGCTACCGGTACAGAGGGAATAAGATGCACGGACAGCTGTTTACGAGATGTCTGATCAACAGAGCGGGCCTGACAACCCGAACATTGGATTTGATACGCGAAATGATTGGACAACTCTTTGGCCTAGTAGGGTCTTCGGCAATGGATTCGTAGTTGTAACGCAACAAGTTAACGATCAGGAGCTTAAGACGCACCCTGTTCCATCTGCGCCTAATAATGGCCATAAATAAAGCAGCTACATGTGCTGATAAATTGGCAATGCGATGCAGCAAAGTGACACCAAATCCAAATAGACTTAATTTTGCATGTAATAATTTGGAATATAACAAACTGAAGAAATCCACACTAACTTTGCATGTAATAAATTGGAAAGCATCAAGACAAATTATGTATAAATTATGCGTTCCAAAAAATTGCTGGATATATTGAGATAGAAACTTTCTGAAATCGAGTTTTTATCATTGTACTGTTTTTTGAAGCAAATAGCTTTTTTTTGAAGCAAAAAGCTTTTTTTTTGAAGCAAATAGCTTCTTTTGTAGCAAAAAAAAATCGCCAGTGTAAACAATGGCTTCGCAGTTGTAAACAGTATGTAAGATTTTGTATACTGGGTTCCTCGTCTAGTATTCATAATAAATGCTGAGCAAAGTGTTTATGGTCAACTGGGTTGAATGTTTTGTGCATCTAAACGACTATACCTCTTAGGAAGAAGAGGCACAGAGGATCCTCCAGGTATGATGGCCTGCAGATTGTCCCATCCACCCACTACACCTCCTGCATGTCTCTCAATTAGCTCCTTCAGGGGAATGGACATCTCTTCCTCAACTGTGACTGGAGCGTTCACGTGTCCCGAAATGCAGAACAATTTCGTGCCGGAATTTCGAGGCCGGCCAAATCCGGCAAACCAGTCTCCACCACGTCGACAGATAGCCTGCAATTAAGTACATGACCAGGTATAAAAATTATAGCTAAAATTACTATTGATTTTCACTAAGGGAATTTTCCACACGAGATTTCATAATCAATGATTTCATAATCAATTTTATAAAGTGGGTTATCTGAGCTGCGAAAAGTTCGATACAGGAAACATTGCGTAAAAGAGGTGTTCCAGTCATCTGACTCTTCAAAGCTAGTCTTATATTCTCGTTTCATAATCACAGCATGCTGCATAGACTTACAGGTGCGACAGCGACCGTTTCCACATTAGCCACTGTCGTCGGACATCCGAACAGTCCGATGTCAGCGGGAAAAGGAGGCTTGAGACGGGGCTTGCCTTGCTTCCCTTCTAGACTCTCGATGAGGGCAGTCTCCTCTCCACAAATATAGGCCCCTGCCCCTCTGTGCATGTAGATATCAAAGTCATACCCAGACCCACAAGCATTCTTCCCAATCAGACCAGCTTTGTATGCCTAAAAACAAAGCAGGCACTATCAGGGAGACTAAATTTAAAAGTTTCCAGTTTAAAGAAATGAATTTATCTCTTTTAAGCTCTTTGAATTTCATAAACCTTTTATGATTGATATTTTTTGATAAAACTAGCCCAATTTGAAAAAATTGGATTAATAAATAATTTTTGTATTGAACCTAAAAACTCAAGAGTCAAAACAGGAACAATGATGGCCGGTTACTGCACAAGCAGCACTGAATGTTCCGACCAGAGTCTTAAAAAACACACAGTTTTTTCAAATTAGTGTCATTTTTCTGCATGGTGTGATAAAAGAATCTGAACGAAAAATTAGAGCTTAGGCATATTCGACAATCATAGTAAAAGTTTTGATTCCCAAAATGACATTAAAAAAACAAATTTACTTTAATAAAATTAAAAGTATGCACAGTTGATCTATTGTAAACGGCTTAAATTGAGTATAAATATGCATGATTGCTTGCTTTATTCGCTCAAAATTAGAACAAAATCCAAAAACTAAAACGGATTTTTCTCGACGCTAAGAAACCTTGTTCAAATCTGTTAAATGTCGATCGGAACCCGACTGTAAGACAACTCGACTAATCAAATGATTATTTGTGATACCTGATTTTGAAAAAAGAACAACGAAAAAAGAACACACGCGAATATAAAGATACTCTCCATTTTTCAAATCGTCGGAACAAAAAGCGTGAACAACTTCTAAGACTCTCGCAAAAACGGAAAAAAGTCAATTAACTTGATATTCGAACAGAATCATTCGCTAAATATAGATATTTATTATATGGAACTAAATTCGAAGGTGAAATCAATTAGCTAAATACTTTTCAAATTTAGTTCAAATATTAAAATCAGAATAGCATGCAAACCTCTTGGATTGCGACGTTCATGTTGGTTCCCTCAGCATAGAACTCTCCCCTGATGTAGATGTAGGCTGCCCTGGCCCCCATCGACACACCCGCCACCAGACAACCTTCTACCAACTTGTGGGGATCATGTCTCATGATCTCTCTGTCTTTACATGTCCCTGGCTCACCCTCATCCGCATTCACAACCAAGTATTTAGGCCTAGAACACAAACAAAACTGCAAAACAATGTACATTACTAGCGAGGCAAAAAAACATACCAAAATAAGAACTTCATAAAAAATTGCTAGCACGTCAAATTTTTTGTAAACATATTTTTTATAAGATTCCGAAGTTTCAGCAGAAAAAATCAGGATTCAAGTTTTAAAAATGATAAGTCGAATAAAAAATGCGCAGTTTTTTTCGAAGAAACGTGGTTCGAAAACTGTCGAAAAAGTTTTTACCACCATCAAGAATGAAAGAATTAATTTCTCCGATCCGATCTAAGCCCAACTTCATACAAATGCAAAACCTTTACAAGTAAACATTGAACCAGAGAGGACACTAAAAGGACCATTCGGTGGCCGGATAGCGCCCTAGAGTTTCTGAACGTCAATGGGAAGTGGGTTAGATAAAAAGAAAAAAAATTACGGCATCAAAAAATTTCGCACTTTAACTTTCAACATTAAAGGATATGTTAACAAAGTATCAGTGCTTAAAAACCAGCCCAACTGCTGCGATAGACACAGTTTAGAAGCAAGGTATGATAAAGAGGTTATAAGGAGTAGGAATAGAATAATAGAGTTAGAGCAAGATTACTGCGTCTATTATTGTAGATTAATTGGAATGAAACAAAACAAAACCTTAAAGTAATAACGATAATCAACTGAAAGAAAAGTCTCTAAATTAAATGTAAGATTGAACAGTTTTGAAATTGAAAAACTCTCTGTTTTTGTCTCTGAATTAAACTAGTTTTAATTTAAAAAAACGCTTTGTTAAAACATAATTTCCAATAACTAAAAAGATTTCATTCTATGAACAAAATTATTTACTTGGGATACACTTGATGACTAAAAATCCATCGGAATCAAATAATTTTGACAAAGAGTACTCAACAATTAAGAGTCCCGGAGGAGTAATAAACGTTGTATTTTTGTTTTTACTCTAAGGTTTCCAGAAAACTTATACCAAACCTTCTGGTTGTTCTGTTAGGATCAACATTAAACAATTCAGACAAACAGTTTTGGAGGGATGACTTAATAAAGATCGGAGAACAAACTTCAATGAGTCAAATATAAGCGATTCGTGTACTGTTAAAATTTTTCTTGTGACGAAGATATCTGAAAGATTGTCGTGAAAACACATTAGCCTAACAATTCTCTTCAACTATTACGGTTGGATGCAATGCACTGAAACGTGCACATCCGTACAAAAATGCCATACTGGATCAGTGATCTGATTTTTGATTCATAAAATTTGAAAATAACTCAAGAGGGGGCAAAAAGCCCAATTTTTGCAATTATTCCTCACTGTTAGCGCAGTTTAGTTCTCATATTATCAATATGCGCATGAAGTTTCGATTGAAATCTATGAACAGTCCTAAATATTTCCATGACAACTATGAGGATAACTTTCTATTTTGATAAACTATAGTGTTGTTAATGGCGCTTCTCTTTCTTTGAACCATTTCTTCATATTAAGAGATTATCTAAGAAGTCCGGAAGCTCTAACATGCGATATCTGTCCGCAGAGTTGTATAAGGTGAAAAGTTTAATGTCGGACAACAATACCCTTGCTTGCTGCAAGTTTAATAAGCAATACGAAGCAAAACAGAAGGATCACCCAGAGACCGAACAGAATAAATGAAGCATGTTATTGAAAAAACAGAAAAAGTTTACCCACAGAACTACATGAAACTGATGAAAAAATGAAATTCCAGCACCAAATTCAAATGTAGTACGTAAAGACGGTTTGAAACATCCAAAACTTTGTTAACTTTAACAAGAAAACCACCGAGTACGATTATTGCAACCTTTCAAAACTAAACGGTCGACATTTCAAAAAAAATTTCGGCCGACGAACATTGAAATGAAAACGACGAATCTGAAACAGGAACCCGACCTTTTTTTTTCAAAAAAAAATCTTTTAAAATTTTTATTACGCATGCAATATAACCATTCAGTCTAATTATCACGCTTCATTAAATAACATAATTGCCACTTGAAAAAAAATCGGAAATCGTCCGACAAAATGGAACTAAAAATGTGATAGAGTTTCAGCAAGGCTTCCAATCAAAAACTTCCAGATTTTGTCAAAGTTCAAATTATACAATGAGCACCAGTAATTCTAACAGGCAAGTAATCGGTATGCGATGAATTCTATAGAACAATTTTTTCAAATCATTTCCGCAAATTTTCTGGAAACTGAATTATCTGCACCATTAGAGAATTCATCAAAATGATTTTCATTTATATTAAACATAGCAAACAAACAGTTGAAAAAGTGCTAATTGAACTAGGAGACATGGACAATCAAAAATTTCTTGAAATATGACAAAGACTCAAAAAAAGCGGTCATAAAATAAACGGACATAAAAAAATATGAAAAAACGACAATTATATTTTAGCAGTTTGCTAAAACAACAGGTCCTGACTGGATTCGAACCTCTGGAACTTGTCGTCCAATGCATGAGCGTTACTTTGCATTAATTCAAAATCAAGTTAACAAATGCTTCAGTGATTCCGACAAATTAACCTAGCATTAACAATCTCTAGCATTATAAAATTTTAGTGTGATTATTACTTTTTGGACACTAGATTGAATCAAAATGATATAAAAAGCGCACCTGCCGTCGTCTGGTTTGTTCATGAAGCTCCACTTCAGTCCAGTGGGGAATCCAGCACCACCTCTTCCTCGGAGACCACTCTTCTTCATCTCAGTCAGAATCCACTCCTTGCCCTTTAGAACAATCTCCTTTGTCTTGTACCAGTCTCCCTATAAAACATATCTGTACATCAGCTATCTCTTCTCCATACCTCAGTTGAAATCATTTCAACACAGGCGAAGCTCAATTTAGCAAAAAAGGAAACCGAAGACAAAAAAGCTCTGGAAGCAAGAAAAAGATCCAATCAAAATACAAAACTTCTGTCAATCATTATCATGCGAGATTATCGGATTCAATTCTATAAGATGATATTGGCGGTAAACAGAACTTTTGTTTAGGTCGAAATTTCTGAAAGTAGCTATATTTGCTCGTCAAATGAACCAATATGAGCCCTTTAAGCCGATATAATTAGGCCGAAACCAATCAAGCCAAAAAAAGTGAAAGAAAAAACAAGAAGGAAAAACACTGTTGCCAATAAAAACTTGAACAATAAATTCTCTTAAAATTCTAACAATTTTTGCCATCCAGAGGTGAGCATAAAAGCTACGTTTCACGTGAAGCGACTAAGCACTAGATCACTAAGCCAATAAAAAACAAGCTGAAATCATTTGGGCAGAAAAACATTTTTAAGCGAAAAAGTACGAAGTCAAGAAATTACAAACAGCCAAAGTAAATCAAAACACTAAGAGCAACTACAATGTAAACTGCGTAAAAAAAAACACAATTATACGATGCGCCAACTAAGCCGACAAAATATAAGCAAACACATAATAAGACAACAATTTTTTTGAAACGGAATATTTCCCGTTTGAAAAAAAAACAGGTCCTGTCAGATTGCAACCTATGACTCTTGATGTCCCAGGCGTATTCGTTACTTCCAGACTAAGTATGCCGGAGACGGAAGAATTTTCAATTTATTCTGAACTGAACCTAGATTTACCATTTCTAATTTTGACCATTCTGTGAACAAAGTTATTTACGGGAACAAGTCGAGTACCCGATTGCAATACCCTTGCAATCGGGTACTAGACTTGTTCCCGTCTAAAGAAGCAAAAACATTTTCATTTGCAATAAAACTAGCATACAACATAAGAAAGGCAAGAAATGTGCAAATTAGGCCGACAAAACATGAGCAGACAGCTGATAGGACGATGATTTTTTATACTAAATACTAGATTCAAGCAAAGACCCGTAGCCGTCAACTAGTTTTCGTAACCAGTAGTTCAATTTGAACTTTCAAGAAATTGATAAGGTTTGCTGCAGAATTGAATGCTGCACAAACGATTCAGTGATTTTGAGTAACTAGTTGTTAATCCAAAAAAAAGGTCTATATTCCGATTTGATAATGCTTGGTAGTTGCAAGCGTAAATAATTTTCGAAGAATTACGCAAAAATTTTCTCATCATCTTCTTTTGTAAATGGAAGATATACACCAGCGGAGAACAATCCATTCAACTATTACAAAACCTTCTCCCATGAGTGTTCATGAGATCACTAATGGAAATTGGAACCAAAACACTTAGAACCAGATTTTAAAAATTGCACATACGCTCAGCAAGTATATTTATGGACAGTTTTTAAGTAAATGAATTTCAACTCTCCTGTGTAATTCTTTTTCTACGTTCTCCGGCACACCGTAAATAAATGACAAAAACTAGCTCCAAAAAGATAGATATCATGAAAGTCAAAAATAGGCTTCAATTAAATAACTTAGCATCTGCTGGGACCGAATCTCAGACCTGGACATTATGAGTCTAGTCTTATCATCCGCGCCATGTGCGCTTGAAAGATCAAACTCAAAGACTAATCTGCGCTTCGCGAAAAATAGCAAAAAACATCAAAATTTGGCTGAGAAAAAAAAACAAAACCAACAGACGGAAAAGTTTCAATAACCGCAAGCAAACAGAACAAAGCTTTCTTGGTTTTTGAAACTTCGAAATACAAAAAAAAAATGTCCTTAAAGCTCTTTAAAGAGCAATTTATGATGAACAATTTTCGATGCAAATGAACAATACAGTCTAAATTCATTAATTCAATAGCTATCACAAAAATAATATTTCATACTTTCACCGAATTGCCAAAATATTTTTCAAATTTGGAACATCAAGACTCCATTTCATTAGGTCAATTTTAGATCCCTAATCAATCCATTTTTCTGACATAAAATACGGACAGATTAATAATGACGTTACCCTCTCCATTGCTCCTTTCATTCTCCAGTCATGACGTCCATACAAGTTGGTGAATATTCTGTCGTCATCGTGTAAAGGGCCGAATGTAGTCTAAACAGACATTTACTCATCAGATCTCTACTCAGTAGACTTCAATTATATGGTTAAATATTACCCCAATTATTAAGCTATGTGCTCACATTCCAGTTAGGAAAACAATGTTCAGTAGTTTTTTGGAACTACAAAAAAAATTGTTCCCAATTAGATTTTTTCGGAGACAAGAAAAATTTTCGATATTATCCGTCACCGTAGACAAAAAAAGCCCCAAGCAATAATTCACCTCCTGGTTTCACTTGGTTATCGAGAACTAACAATATCTCAAATTGATTCTATCAACTTCTCGAAGATAAATTGGCATCTGGTTACCTTAAGTTGAGAACATAATTATATTTAAAAGCTATTTCAATGATATTCGAATCACACAATCTTGGATATTAAATAGATTCAGCATCGATTCGTAATTATATAGATCATGGTACGCAAACTTTTAAGCCCTGTATCTTAGGTGGTTGCAAAAACGGCAAAAATCAGACAGAAATATCCGTTCAATTGAAAAAAGTGTTAACTTCTGTACCTTGACCGTGCAAATGTTTGACTTGTAGCCAAAAAATGACCTGTGATATGTTATGCAAAATTGTCCCGTGATAAAAAAACAAGCTCCGCTCGTGTAACCATAAAAGATGAACCATTTGCACACTAATTGCAGATTTGTTATTGGAGAATAAAATTTCAGCTCCAATAGGAAAACGAATTGAGGAACTCAGCTTCAACATAAATCAAAAAAGAAAACATATCCACGAGACAAAAAATCCCACTTTTAAGGCTCAAAGAAAAAACATACTAAGTATCTTCCGGTTCGAAACGTGACTCTTTCACATGGCCTTTTTTGAGGCCTTAATTTTTTTCTTTATCAAATAAGTGCGGAGTATCTTGAGCAGGGGAGAGTCCAACTACCGGTTGTTTCAATTGAACTTTTAATTTTGGATTTGGCAGGGTAGTTTTTGAGAAGGAAGTTTCTATATTATTTCAATTCAAAAGCGATTGCTAATGGAACTCGATAAACGACTTTGCTTTGAGATGCTCTTATAAACAACCCACTCTGGTTACCTGTCGGGCCTAAGTGGCCGGAACTAACACAAAATTGTACCACAAGACCCGAATACACAAAAATGCAGTTCATCAACAAACGGAACAAAAATGTTGAATCTGAGGAACCTCCTTAGAACTTCTAAAACTAACCTTTGGTGGTTTTTCAGCAGCCGCAGCAGTTGACATACATCTTCCTGCAACGACCGACTGTGACTGACGTTTTCCCTTCGTGTCTCTCAAGGAGACCAACGAGGAAGTAGACTTTGCTCTCGGAACAGTCTTGTGTGCATTGGATGCACAACGTGCTCCGATAGATGTTAGCCGACAAGCTTGCATTTACGCTTATCTAAAAAAAGTTTATAGAACTTCTCAAACAACTAATGATTGAAAAGTTTTAATAAAACTAACTCAATTTGAGAACACTGGATCAATAACAAAAATTTCTATTTCGCTGGGAAATCTGATTATTAAATTCCGTTTTCGAAACTAGAGGTCCATCAAATTTTGCCTTCTTTTCAACAAAGGAAAAACTGAACTTGAAAAGAAATCAAAGTCAAAACGCAAAAAAGTAAATTTGAGCCTGAACAAATTTTAGGATGTTTGCTGAAAAATCATCGCGACCTATATAAAAGTCTTCCTTACGCTCATTACGCATAAGAACTATTATTGACTATAACACCACTTCCCATCCAAAACCTTATCTGGTTTAGATTTGAAGCGTCTGGATTTACTTAAATCCCCACCCTTCTTCCTAGAAAAAACCGACCTTATGCATGTACTATTTTGGATTTGATTTATAAATAAATGGCAAAGGCGAGCTTTCGAATAGCAAGAACATAGCCAAAAATTACAATTAGAAAAGTGTCAATCAAGCAAGGAAACTAAAAAACATTGACTCATTTTGATTACTTTTCGAATTTTGGTGAAAACAAAATATTATGTTAAGGCTTTTCGAACTTCAAAAGCTGTTTATTATTGAAAGTTTTTTTAAGATATACCATTTAAAGATATTTGGACCAGTAATTATTTTCTTTATTCCACAAGGATTTCAGAAAAAAGTCCATTTTAAAACTATATGTCATTCATATATAGACTTAACTCAAAATTTGAAAACTTGAAACGACTTACACTCAAAAACTAAAATCCAGCCTCAAAACTAGTGCTCATTGACGTTTTATCGCGCCATAACCACGTTTTTAACTGAAGAGCTTTCAGAAATTGAATTTGAATCGAACTCGAAAAAACAAAAAGCTGAAAATCTACTTTGAGTGCGAACATTTTTGAAGCCTTTTCATGAAAATGAAAAAGATTAACATAGCCAACTGAGTTGGAAAAGAGTAATGAGCGCAAAGAAACAGAAACAAAACTAACTAGTTTTTGAAAAAATTTCAGCCTTCGAAAAGTAGATGTCTTTAAACCTCTTTAATTTCTAAAAACAATTTATTATTAACAATTTTCATGAAATTAACCCAATTTGAGAAAACTGGATAGAGGTAAAGATTTTATTTCGCTGTGAAATCTGATAATCAAATTCCACTTTCGAAACTAGAGGTCGATCACATTTTCGTGACCTTTACACATTTGCTGTTCGATAGTGGAATTTGCTTTTCCTCTAACAATCGAAATGCACTGAACTTATAAAAAACCGCCAAGACCTATATAAGAGTCTTCACTGCGTTCATTAATCTTAAACACGAACTACAGGAGTCTCTTCACTACATTCATTGACACTTAAAAACGGATGACTTTGAAAACACATTATCACCTAAGTGATTCGGCGGTCCAACCTATAGATTTAGAGTCTATTGTCATGGCTACGCTTGCTGTCTTCTAACACAGAGGCCAACATGCGCTTCGCAAACAAGAGCGAGAAAATACGAGTCTTGAAAATGAAAAACTTTGCTGTGGCGGATTCGAAACTAAAAGCACATGATTTGTAATCGCACGTCCTCAGATCTGCGCCACGTTTCATCAAACAGCAGCAAGTTTCACCAAATATAAACAGGTAAAATTAGCATGTAGTTTTTTCAAATATAATCAACTAAAGGCATTCACGCTAACTTTGCATGTAAAACTTTTGTACAAATTTTTGAAACAAATAGCTTTTTTTGAGTAATTGGATGAATTAAAAATGCATCAACTGCTAACTTATTACTTATCGAAAATCATAGCACATGCTATCAAAAAAGCCGTAAAAGTTCCCTAAAAGTGGCACCAATATTTTTGGTGTCATTTTAGAGGTTAGAAAAAAAGACTAGTCATACTATTATGCTATACTCGCTAAAGCTCACATATGTAAACACCAGCAACCAGTAAAGCGGATACAACACATTAGCAGTACACGGAAACTAAATTCAGTTATTTCATACCTGTTGTTTCAATTGAACTTTTAATTTTAGATTTGGCAGGGTAGTTTTTGAGAGGGAAGTTTCTATATTCCAGTAAAGCGGATACAACACATTAGCAGTACACGGAAACTAAATTCAGTTATTTAGTTGAGCAGTAATTTATGAGAGTCGGCTGGAAAAAATTATGAGAGGCCGCTTGGAGCGTAGATTTTTAATTAGATCCTAATCCTGAACTGAATGGGGCGCTATGGCTAGAACTGTAAGAGAGAAAACAAAGAATCTAACAGCTAAATTTGTAAAGATAAATGCCAGCATTGTTGTGTCCAAACTTCCGGGGAAAAGATAAATCTACTAAGGATAAGACAGAGGTGAAGCTATGTTTAACAGACACAAGCAACGGCAAAGAGGAGCTATAGTTGTTCAAAAAATAACCGTTTGAAAAACGAAAATTTCTGTCTACCACGCGATTCGAACAGCTGACCTCCCAGCAAATAGTCACCTGTTTCAACATGTAACCCACGGAAGCGTTAACTGTTATGATTGTGCTGTAGTCAAACTGATATACTGCTTAAGCTATTTCATATTGAACCAATAGCACACACGAACTGAACACCAAAATTGAACACAGAAAAGTTTGGCTAGAAAAGAGTGAATTGGTCTTACGACACAACCGTTGCTTGATCAAATTGTTATCCGAAACACTGTTCCGACCATTTTGAGGTTTCTTTACATTACATGCAGAAATCCATTTTGAGGATACTTTACAAGAATTTTACATGCAGAAATTTTTCGTAGAATGCAAGATGTAGTTAGAAAATGACATCATTAATTCATGTCATTTATTTCCAGTAATTTTCCAAATGTTAACAGTCTGATTTACAAGAATCAGCTAACCAAAAAAAAAACGTTAAGAAAATTGGAACCTGAAGTGCTAGGATACGTGGTCGGAACATTTTTAAAGCTGATCGCAAGTGTAATCAGTGATAGGGGATGCATGTAGGTATGTAAATTACCACTTTCTATTTTGTTTCCCATATTAATAAATACTTGAAGATTCATAAATCAAATCATTCGCCTCGACTGTGCTGCTTGACGTGGGCAGCACCTCCAATAGAAGACAGTTGGTGACCACTGTTGCTGCTCGGAATGCGACTGGCTGCAGTCGCTGCACTCATCGCCGCACGCTGCTGTTGTCCCACTCCCGGGTCGCCACCCGGTCCCGGGGAGAAGGGCGCAGCTCGGGCATTTACTTGTGACTGCTGATATTTGTGATGATGCTGCGCCTGCGACATTCGAAATCAGTGGTTAGCTTAGTCATTAATTAAATATTGGTTGTCGATTAACACCAAAAAATAATTGTTAAAATTGCTAATTATACTTTCCGTTAAACAATTCAAATCGCTCTTAAACAGTGGCGAAAGATGTTAAATTTATGGGGCCATTTAGAATTAATTCAAAACTTGACAATAAAAAATTAGATGGCTTCAAGTGCTCATTACTTGCTGGAGTTGTTGTTGGTGGTGGTGCTGTTGGTATGACCTTGGGGCCTTCTGCTGAGGAGGCGGAGGAGCTAGTTGGTATTGTGAGTTTGATTCCGGCACTGATGAAAGATAGTCACCTAAAAACAAAGGAAACTTATAAACAATGGCGAAGCAATGATAATACACAACTTGCAATAAAAATAGCATGTGAGCGTGACGAAATTTTGTTGAGCCAAAGGGAAACGAGAAAAAAAAATTAAAATTTTGCAATCAGATAACATCATAGTTTCAAATAATTTAAGACACGGCTCGATTCATTGCTTTCTTGACAATCAGAAAAAAAAGACAAAAAAACTATCGGCCTATTAAAAACCCATAAAAAAGCTATATTTTTGGACACTCAATAAAATGTACCATTACGAAAACAACTAGGTGATCTTCAATTATAGTAAAAATCGTCAAATCATGAGAGAAGTCCGTGCGTCGCTGTTATAGTCATACCTGATTCTGAGTGCCTAGGGGATTGTACTGGACTGTGAAACACTGCTGGTCTGGCGTATACTGTGACAAATCCCTCTTTTCCACCCACCACAAAACAGTTGGCCCTACATTAAAACGAACGACACTCTTCCATCATTCAGTTTTCAGTTTTGATTCTAGCAGACCAAAAGAGCGAGGAAAAGTTATGAGAAAAAAAACGAGATTTATTGTTCTATACCCAAACACATTTAACTCTTGCAAAACTTTGCAAAACTGCATATTAAGAAAGTGCTTTTAAAATATACTGAAACGCTTAATTCAGTGACTGGATAACCGTACTTAGGAACTTCATTGTTTGGTAACTTTTATATTAACCTACTGAATTAATCGAAAAATGAAACTAAGCAACTGCAAGCAAAGCAGTAAATTGAATTTAATTAAAAATATGATCTTAAACCTGAATAGAAAAATATTATAGCCAACAGAAAAACAAGAGCACCTTAAAAAAATTGAGTCAAGAATTGCAAGGAAATGGCTTGTTTTTCTGAAGAAAACTCGATTTTCGAAATTCGAAGTTAAAAATATATGGCCTTAAAACCTTCTGAATTTCAGGAACAATTCAAAATTGACACTTTTTGATAAAAATATGACTGAGATAACTGGATCAATAGATAAAAATTTTAATTCACTGTGAAATCTGAAAAATAAAATACACTTTCTAAATAACAAGTAGTTTTTCGTGACCTTAACACAATTGCTGCTCAAAACTGTAATTGCCTTCCTTCTAACGAAGGAAAAAACAGAACTTGAAAATCGCTAAAAAAAAATTGAGCGTGAACAAACTTAAGTTTTCGTGCAAAAAAAAATATACTCACAGCGGGCTTTACCTCTAGACTACAATTAGTGATATTTACCAAAAATTTCTATCATTTGTAAGATGTTGTTATGAGCAAAAAAGTCAACTACCAGATTACAAGACTTTCTATTGCAAGTGTAATAGAAAAGTGAAGTTAAACTTAGCAAAAAAAAGCATCTCTTAAAATTGAAAGAATGAAAATTCAGAAAACGAAAAATTTACACAGAGAAGCTGCGCTTCGCAAGCAGTAGCGAGAACAGAACAAAAAGCAGCAAAGTGAAAGAAATGATAGCATAGGCCTCGATATAGTTAAATTTTGCTACGTATGGTCTTCGAACCTCCGAGCTTGAGAATTGGAGTCTCACGCCCTGCCCTCTCGGCCACGAACGCTTAACAACCGGCAAATACTAGTCACAAAACATAGCCAACTGAACGTAGTAATTAACGTAAGGAAACTGAAAAAAATCGACTTGTTTATTCAAAAATCTTCAACCTTTGAATTTCGAAGAAAGCAATAGATGGCCTTAAAGCTCTTTGAAATTGTAGAACAATTTATGATGTATACTTTTTTGTTAAACTTGAATCAATTTTAGAAAACTGGATCAATAGCTAAAACTTTTATTTCGCTGGGAAATCTGACAATTAATTTCCATTTTCGAAATTAGAAGTCGATCACGGTTTTCGTGACTTATACAATTTTGCTGTTCGATAGTGGAGTTTGCCCTCCTTTTAACAAAAAAGCACTGAACTCAAAAACAAATAACAAGTCAACCGCGAAAAATCAAAATTGAGCGTGAACAAATTGTAAGTCTTTTTCCTGAAAAAAAAATCAGCAAGACTTACATAAGAGTACTCACTACGTTCATTACTCTTAATAAAGCAGCTACATATGCTAACAAATTTCCAATTCGATGCAGCAAAAGTGGCACCAAATACAAATAGACACAATTTTGCAAGTAATAGTTTAGAATATATCACACACTGAAGGAATGCAAAAATTGGAAAGCCTAAAACCCTATTATGTATAAAATATGTACTTCAAAAAATTGCGAGGGATTGAATTATAAAAGTTCTGAAATCGAGTTTATATTATTGCTATGTTGTTTGAAGCAAATTGCTTTGAAATATTATTGCTATGTTGTTTGATTTTTTCGGTTCATTTGATGATTTTAAAATGTATCAACTGAGTTCACTTATTATACTACTCGAATGTCAAAGCTTATGCTATCAAAAAGCTGTAATGGTGCCCCTAAAGTGGAACCAATATTTGCGACTTAGGTCAAAAAAATAGGTGTAGTATATCACTAACGCTCACTAAAGTTCGCCAGCGTAAGCAATCGTCTTACGCCGGAATCAAACCTAGACGGATTCAGAGTTTCACGTCGTCGCATCTGCGCCATGTTCGTTTGTAAATCTGCAAACACTAGCTACTAATATAGCAGATACAAATGATGGTATTTAATCGCCATTACAAAAAAGTTTCGAAGTGTAATGTAGTCGATCCCCCTCGCATCTGCGCCATAGTCGCTTGACAGCCGTCAAACAGTAGCCACCAAACTAGTATATACAATATCCTATTTGATTGCCAAGTCTAGCAAAAGTGCTAGAAGTTTATTTTAATGTAAGGTTGGAAAAAAGTGGACTTCGTGAATTGACACTAGGCTCGCTAGCTAGCACGTGTAACTATTCATCTGAATCAAATCTGACGCGCGACTGTTTTAGTTTTAGAGACAAAATTATATACGGCGTTTTCAAACTATAGTGCTTTAGAAGAGTAACAAAACATTGAGCCCCCGAAAATATAGTTTTTGTATTCCGTAAAAGTCATTTTTTAAACAATGATGAAAACAGAGCCGGAATTCGTACACTCACATGAATACTATAGCCGTGAGTCTTTCGAAGGAGGCCTTGGCATAGACGGATGGTTCTAGAGAGGGTATGGTTCCGTTGCGAGGACATGCGCCTGTGGCAAACAGCAGCTGTGCCTCCTCCTCCACCTTCACTTTCTGTCTGTTGATGTGGTGCAGGCCACCCTTGCCACTACCGCTCTGCGATTTACTAAAAAAACACAGTTCCAGTGCAAATGCTTAAAAATATCAGAAAGCATTTTACACAATTCAATCGTAGCTTTATAATTCTTTCCGAGCCTAATTTGGCTCTGAAGGAATTCTATAACTCAATGTTTTTTAAACAAAGCTACGCTCAATTTTAATGCAAAAGAACGTCTATTTAAGAAAGCACATCTTATTGTTAGCTTTTAGTGAAATCGCTATATGCAATAACTGAAACCTTTAAGCAAACCCGTTTTTCGCTACAAGGCTTACGTAGATCCACTGCCTCCTCCAGACGCGTTTGAAGAAGACGAAGAGGATGATGACCTGAACATGGATAGGGGTGTAGTCTTGTCCTTTTTCTCTTTCTCTTTCAACAATGGTACCACGTGACTCACATCAACCACAGCTGCAATTACAAAAAATTTAGAAAAGAAAGATTGGAAAAGTGTCAATGAACTTACGAAACCCAAAAAAACTGATTCACTTTTTGAGCATCTTTCAACACAGATGCAAAGCAGAGCTTCGCACCACTTGCAATACATAACTACAAGCCGAAGTTCGAATGATAAACTGGCTCTTACGAAAAAAAAAATTATGTTGAAGAAACCTTCGGCTGAAATTTTTTTTGCAAGTCTTATAGAACACAATTACCAAAATCATAGAGGATTCAGGTTGCACCAACTCCATTCATTTTTTTTATAACTATTAGATGGAAAGCATACGAAGGACTGATGTTTTGGTCGAAAAATCATGATCCAAAATTTACCAAGAATCTTCTCTGAAAACCATGGATCCGAATGTATCATAAGACATTTCCGATTGCTTGCTACAACCAAAAATCAAAACGAACGGAAAAAAGTTATAAATTGAAAATGAAAACTTAAATATAAAACAATCAACGAACGTGCTGAAAACAATAAAACGAATACTACAAAAAAGAATTCGCAGAAAATATAGAAATCTTTCAAAGCCTATAAAATAAACCCATTTACATCAATACTGTCAAACACTCATAATCTTAAATAACGTGCAACATCCAACAAGTACAAAAAAGTGAAATCAAAAATTGAAAACAAAAATTTTCCTGAAATTTAATTTAAGAATTCTATTTTAGACTATTTTAGAAAATTTTTTATAATTGAACATTACGCTGTGCCATCACTTTGAATGGATTTGAAATGAAGTTGCTCAAAAATAAATTTTGATACTAAGTCGTGTTCAGCTAACTGCACGCACTATTAAAACAAAAAAAAATCAGAAAACGTAACTTCGAAAAAAGCTGAAGTAATTTTTAAAAAAATCAAGCAAAAAGTTTTTCTTCTCAAAATAAAAGTTTTAGCTGGCGTGTATCTTAAAAACGTGTTAAAAAGTAAGTATGAAAGCGTGTGTGTGTTTTAAGTTCTTAGAAATGAATTAAACGGTTAATTGAATAGATTTTTCTTAAAAAAAATAGCACCCGGCAATTAAGCCTCCAAAAACAATTTCACATCTGAAAATTTTCAACACTAGATCCAGTAACGCATTAACTCAAGACACAGTTACTAGAAGTGCAATGTGCTGAAAATGCAGATCTTGAAATCGGAGATCCTGTAAACAAATTTATTTCGGGAAAAAAGTCTAGCACCCGATTGCAGTACACTTGCTTATCGCAAAGGAAATTAATGGATTTCGTAGAAAATGATACATCACTTCAAAAATCAATGAATTTCTAACATTTTTTATATTTGCCACTTTCTAAATAAATAATCCAACCAAATTTGAGAAAACGGAGTCGCTTGGCACATTATTCAGTTGCTCGGAGCCGCTCGGTTTTATTCAGCTGGGAAATTATATATAAGCCACACATTCGTAATAAGATGTCATTCACAGTTTTTTTGCCCCATTTGCACTTACTTTATAGTACAGCGTAACTTGCTTTTCATTTTGAAGTGAATAAAAAATTGAATTAGAAGTCAAACCACTTAAGCTAAAACTTGAGCTAGGCTATTTTTCTAGAAGTACTGCTTCACAACACTTGCCAGACAACACAAACATAATACTGCAAGCTAGCGAACAGGAAAAAGATTCGCAACTCTTTAAATTAAAAATTAAGGATGATTCAAGAATTAAACTGATACTGCTAGAATCAACGGGAAAAATGATTTGAAGAAAATAGATCCAAGGGCTACGGAAAAAAAGTAGCAAAAAATCAGCCAAAACGAAAATGACCCTTGCTGCTCCATAGTGGAGCTTGCCTTCATTTTAACATAGGAAATCGACCAAATTTAAAAAAAACCACTAGTCGACACAGAGGCGAAGTTGCACTTCGCATACACAAGCAAAAATATGACCGATAAGGCTACTGGGAAAAATTGAATGAGTAAAACTTTGAGTCTACAAAATTTTTCAAGTGACGCACGCCAATTATGACGCATTAGCAGTAAAAAAAAAGAAATTTACCAACTAAAAGGCCCCAATTTAAAGAGCAGTCTATGGAGCAGTAAAAAATGAAAAAATAAAATTTAATAAAAATAAAACGAAATTTTTTGTTTTAAATTTGAGATTTTTTGTGAAAATCATCCCCCCACACGCCATATTAAGTACAAAATTATAAATTCCGCTCCTAGTAACGAATCAATTATGGCATCCTTCTACCAATGAGCATCCTTCTACCAATTTGAAACGATTTCTATGACAGGTTATAACGCGAATAGCGCGAATTATATAGCGCGTTTTATGTCACTAATTGGACAAAATGGCAATTTTTAAACCCCCATAACTTTACGAAAAAAGATCACAGGTAAAATATCTTTCCAAAATTAAGCTCAAAACAACAATACTTTTTGAATGATACAAAAAATCCCGTCAAAAATGGCTAGCTAAAAAGTCGAAATTTGTCTGAAGAAAAAAACCACTCCGAGCACAAATAATCCGCTACTTTCGTTACGAACGTCGGAACAATCATGGTCTGTGTAAATATCCTTAGCATTGTCTTTACTTAATAGCTGGTTATTGGTCAAAATGAACACTTTCAAAATGAACACATTTTATCGCAACAATATTTGCGACTTAGGTTGGAAAAAAAAGATAGTTCATACTATAACACAAGCATTGCTTGTGTAAAAACACGCTCCGATTGGGAATTAAACTTCGGGACACATGACCCAACGACGTGTGCTTTACCATTAAAACAATTGAGCAGGAACAAATATAAAAGTTCTATAAACGAGCAAGGTTAATTTCTAAAGGATGATTCCAGACTAAAAATTAAGAATTAAACTGATACTAGCATGTAACACACCTCCTGTGCCTCTAATAAAAAACGAATATAATAGAAATAAGATCTGCGTCATTTGAGTGTACTCTGGCAGCACCTAATAACAGTGTTGGTAATTTAATTTTTTTAAAAGTTTTATTATATTCAAGTTTTTAATTCGAATTTTGAAAAATCATAAAACTGAAAAACCATGAGAAAAAAGTTTGAAAAAACTTTAAATGTCACATCTTGGAATCTAAAAGCTCTTGAGAAACCGCATTTTGACTGAGATTTGCAGCTCTTGAGAGTAATCTCACAATACCCAATTACACCGTTGAAAATGTCAAATTGTCAGAAACTTCAAACTTAAAAAATCTAAAAATTTTTTTTTGAAAAAAGCATTAAAAAAGCGTCATATCTCGAAAACTACAATGAGTTGCACAAAAAAACTTGCCGATCAGATTCAAAACCCCTGAGAGTACTATGACAACAACAGGGTTATGAATTTCGAACTTTGAAAATAAATTCAAATTTAAATATTTTGAAAAAAAATCACAAAAAGCGTCATGTCTGAAAACTAAATAGATTTTAGCCGTCATTTGTCCTTTTCAGAGGCAAAATATGCATCTCCTGAGAAGACTCTGAGAACCCCCACTACAGGGTTGGGAATTTTAAAACTTTGAAAAATAATTATAAATTAAAGTTTTCTGAAATTTAAAAAAATCACAAAAAACGTCATATCTCGAAAACCAGAAAAATTTGAGCAGTCAAATTTAGAGACAAAAATTCGCAATGCCTAGGAATACCCTTTCAAAGCCTCACTATAGAGATGATGAATACTTCAAACATTGTGAAATTTTTTATATCAAAGTTCTTTGAATAATTTTTTTCTTAAAAACAACAAAAAATTGAACAAACTTTAATTCAAATGAGCGATTTAGTTGGATGGGAAAAATCCGATACTAAGCCGGATGGTAAAAAATCGAAAACTAAAAGAGGAAACTAGGCCGACAAAAAAAATACCGAAAGCCACGAAGTCGAAAATTCAAAAAATACCAAGGAAATATCATGTAAAAAATTTGAACTGCAAATTTAATGGAAAATACTAAAAGGGATGCACAGTGAAAAAACAATATACGAACATGCTGAAATCTGTGGACAAAGTTGTTTACGGGAAAAAAGTCCTGTACCCGATTGCAATACCCGTTTAGCGCAAGTAATCATTTTGTGCCGTTAACCCGATGCAAAATAATTTCACTGAACGGACAAAGAATAGGCCGAAATCATTTAGGATGAATAAAATTTCTAAGCGAGAAAAAAGAAAGATTCCAGCGAGCGTTAGCAAATTAAAATAACAGAAGATAATCAACGACATTTGAAACTGTAATGAAAACTTCTCACAGCGCAACAAAAACCCGTGGTGTGGCAACTAAGTCGACAATTCATTAGTCGACAAACAATAGTCAGACTATTCAATTTTTAAATTAAAGTTTTCTGAAATTTAAAAAAAAATCACAAAAAACGTCATATCTCGAAAACCACAAAAGTTTGAGCAGTCACATTTAGAGACAAAAATTCGCAATGCCTAGGAATACCCTTTCAAAGCCTCACTATAGAGATGATGAAAACTTCAAACATTGTGAAATTTTTTATATCAGTTCTTTGAATAATTTTTTTAAAAAGACATAAAATATGTAACATCTTGAAAACTAACAACCTTTGCGCAGTCGCCTTTGGACGCAAAAGTTGCAACTTGGAACTCCTGAGAGTACCCTCGCAGAACCCAACTACAAGGTTGGGAATTTCAAATTTTAAGAATTACTTTGCCGACAAAATTTGAGCAGACAAAAGAAAGTCCAACAATTCAAATATCATTGGGGAAAAATTTTTCATAGGATAAAAATTTGGAAGGGAAACTATCATAAAAAAATGTGAGCAACATAATTGTTCAAACTTTCAATTTTTATGATTCAACCGAACTGATTTATCCAAATTAAAAAAAACACAGGCGAAGTTGAGCTTCGCACCACTTGCGATACATCACAAGAAAAAAATCGAAAATGTCGAAAAAAACTAGATCTATCACAATGAATCAAGCTACTTTTGAAACAAAAACATTCTGAGACAATAGAATGTAAAAAACATCGGAAGATAATTTACCAAGCGGTAACAAAGCCAAAATGCCTTGGCAGAAACCTTTTAAGCCGAACAAAATCAACAGGACTTCAGACTTATGAAACGTTAATAAGCCCTAAAAACACAAAAATGCACACAAACTTTTTTCGCTCATCGAAAGACGCAATATCAGGCCGATAAGCCGATATAATATAGGCCTAAACATATAAAGCCAAAGCAAAAATAAACAAAAAAAAATTGTTGTCCGGAAAAACGTTATCAATAATTTCTATTAGGATGTTTAGCATTTTATGCAATCCAGAGATGAGCATAATTAGTATGTTACCAAGGAAACGACTCAAAATTAGGTCAGTAAACCAATAAAAAGATAATCCGAACTAATTTGGGCAGAATAAGGTTTTCAAGCGAAAAAAAAACCAAAAATATATATACCATGTCAAGGTTAAAAAATATACAAACAAAGAGCAAACAGCAGGTAAATCAGAACACTAAAAACAACAAAAAATTGAAAAAACTTTAATTCAAATGAGCGATTTAGTTGGATGGGAAAAATCGGATACTACTAAAAGAGGAAGCTAGGCCGACAAAAAAAATACCGAAAGCCACGAAGTCGAAAATTCAAAAAATACCAAGAAATATCATGTAAAAAATTTGAACTGCAAATTTAATGGAAAAACACTAAAAGGGATGCACAGTGGAAAAAACAATATACGAACATGCTGAAATCTGTGGACAAAGTTGTTTACGGGAAAAAAGTCCTGTACCCGATTGCAATACCCGTTTAGCGCAAGTAATCAATTTGTGCCGTTAACCCGATGCAAAATAATTTCACTGAACGGACAAAGAATAGGCCGAAATCATTTAGGATGAATAAAATTTCTAAGCGAGAAAAAAGAAAGATTCCAGCGAGGGTTAGCAAATTAAAATTACAGAAGATAATCAACGACATTTGAAACTGTAATGAAAACTTCTCACAGCGCAACAAAAACCCGTGGTGTGGCAACTAAGTCGACAATTCATTAGTCGACAAACAATAGTCAGACTATTCAAGTTTTACCGGAAAAAAATTCAACTTTATCCACTGAAAAAAAAACAGGCTCGGGCCGGGACTCGAGCCCCAGACCATAGGGTGCAAAGGCAACTGCATTAAATCCAGACTAAGTGGGAAGAGGCCTGGAAGTTGCGCAAGTTCGATAATAAAGCAATATCAATTTCTTACATGTGTAAGAGAAGTTGTTTCCGGTAAAAAAAAGTCTAGTTCCCGATTACAAGACATTTGCTTTCGCAAGTGTAAATATTAAAATCCGCTTCTGACACAAAAATCATTCACGTTTCCTGGTTCCACGAGATTTTTAACACGCACACCAGCTCATACATCAACTAATAAAAGTCCATAGTAACCAGGCAATTGATGCAATTCCAGTAGTACAATTCAAGTTATCCAAAATTTCAATTAGAGAAAAAAGAGAAATACTAACCACCTTCTCCTTTGCCTTTCGAAGGTGACCCCTGACCTTGCTTCGGATCAGCATTGTTCACTTTGTTGACCTTCGAGCCCGGCAGACTGTTGGACCTAATGTGAGAAACCTATATGTAGTCAAAAATCACGCAGATTATCGTCGTTAGCTGTTCAAATAGAGGATATTAAGAGCAGACTCAATTGCTACTGTACCTGGTAACTGCTGCAGTGGCGTGTGTATTAGGAGCCAAGTTCTGAGAAGGACCTGATGGAGTGCATGAGAAATTGGTTGACATTGAAGTCGATTCTGAATGTTGAGAGTGGATTGACTTGCTATTGCTACTGCTAACCATACTCATGCCCAGGTGGTGTTGCGATTCACTCGTTTTGGGAGATGGCATGTTTTCGCTGTATCGCGAGACTGTAAAAAACATACTTGGAACCCCGAAGTCATAGTTCGAAAACTATACATGGATATCTATAGAAAAATAAACTTTTCGAGGTATCGCTCATCTGTAGTTCACTTCTTTTTCAATCTTTTCGTCTCTTTTTTGCTTTTGTATTTTGGTTTGCAAAAACACGGACCAAGTTAGCATCTTAGCAGCAAAAGCATTTAGGGGGAGGAAGTTAATTTGGTTGTAATCGGAAATGTTTGCCAATCAAAATTGAGTATTTTACACGTAGTGCTCAAAAATTTTGTTCATATAAAATATTGGGTTAGAAGATCTTATCTTGGTCTTTTTAAGGGGAAGGAGGTTGCGTTGATCCCAAAAAAAAACATATAATTCAATCAGAGTTTGCAAAAGAATTCATCGAATTCCGTGAGATTCTGTTTCGTCAGAGGGAGGTTCATAGCAAGTTTCTAATTGGACATCGAAACTTTTGTCAAATATTATTGAAAACATCAAGTTACAAAACACTTCATAATCACAAAACGAACAGCCGCAAACAGCTGAATTTATTGTATGCTAACCATTTTACACGCATACTTCTACAACTTGAAGCGTTTTCAAATTTCTGCTCCCGGCATTGAAACAGGCAACACAAATAAGTACAAGCAAAGCATGTCTAGAATTTAAAAAAAGAAACAACCCATCAAATAATTTTCAAAGAAAAGATGCTTTGAAAAAACATCAGACTCCCAGCCCGACATTCCATTTGTTCATTGGTCTCAAAAAAAGGGTTTCGCAGTCTAGCTGAAATCTAAGACTACCATTCCTCTTGTTTAAATAATTGATGCTAGCCTGATGTTCCAGTCGACCTGGTTCGTGACTTTCTCTCTTTCGATGCTGCCAAGAGAAGACTTTCATCTATATCCCACAGTGCTAAGTGGGTGTCATGAGACACGGATCCCAGCCTGTAACTCCTGCTGTGCCTCCGTACACTGTGCGACTGAGACAGGGTCCGGGAGAGAAGCATGGACTCGTGAGCTCTCGACTGCACAAAGTGGCTGTCAAAAGACACCGCTGATACCCATGACCTGTAACAGATAAGTTCAGGAAATAGGTCAAATATCCCAGAATTAACATAGAACTCAACTTACACGACAACTTTTGCGTAAACACCCCACGTCCAGTGCTAAGAGATGTCTTCAGGTTTAATCTAAGTCGGCTTACAGGCGAGTCTTCTTTAGTCTCCGATTAAAATTATATTAAAACTGCTGTAATTACCTGTGACCTTGACATCTGAGGATGACCCTGTTCTCTTGCATGGAGTAGACATGCACTAAATCGTCTTCAGCCCCAGCCGCCAGCAAGATGCCGTCTCCACTCCAGGCCACACACAACATGGCCCCAAAGTAGCTCTTCATTTGTCCAATCAACTCCCTCCCGTGGAAGTCAAAGATGCGCACGAAGCCATCTGCAGTTGCCAGCGCCAACACTAAACCACAGAAGCATATCAGATCAGAAGCGTTCTGTATTCTATACATGACAAAAAATCCTCCACTCCCCCCCCCCCCCCCTCCCATTCTGTTTGGGTAGGGAAAAATTAACCTTGGTTCTAGTTGGAATTTTCAGCCAATCCGAATCATTTTTTTTATACAGCTACATTTTGTCAACTTAGAGGGAATAGAATATTATCGCAGTTATATAGCTGAACTGTGCCAAACTATACGTTTGGACTACTAATAGAGCAAACAGATAATGATTAAGATTTCATTGTCTCACTCAGTGTTGTGGCAGTGGCTGTTCTGTTGAGTCTGTTGGCGGTGTGAGGAGCGAACTGGACCTCGTTGACTGCCCCGTGGCCCACTATCCATTTGTGCAGTGGGTTTCGAGGAACTGCACTTGAGGGCACTCCATTTTGCTGCAGCTGCGATTGACTGAAGAAAACATAGCAGATTTCAATCAAAATAATTGCTCCAAACCGGAGGGATCGCTGTTCTGTTCTCATGGTGCACCACTAACAACGAAGTAATTTCGATGCAAATTATCAAACTCAGCTTTTCTTTGCCTGGAAAATATTTCGCATCTGGGCTGTTTCCGTTTCCCTTTTTTAACGTTTCTGGAATTCGATAAACCAGGAGTTGGAAGCAGGAAGAAATCATACTTGAAGTATTATCAAAAAATGGACCAAATTGATTTGTGAAAATTTTTTATTCGATGCTCCGTCGGGCTTTCGCCCCGCTCACCCACCCATTTGCAACTTTTACGGCACCCATTTTTGGTCAGCCAACGCTGAAGTTTCTCTAAGGTCGCCTATGTCGTAAACTAGGAACAACAAAAACTGAATTGAAAAGCGGGACCGCCAAAAAAAAACGTTAAAACCTGCCAAAAAAAATGCCTTAAACGGGTTGAAACTAAACAGCTTAGTTTTGAAGCGTTTTTTGATAGCTCGTTGAATCAATTTGATCGACCTAATAAGGTTCAATAGGCCAATCTACTTCTCTAGAAAATCTTATATTGTCGCCAGACTGCATATACAACAACAGACCTGCCTTTGCCCTGACTCTGGGATGTTGTAGATGCGGCTGCCCTTGACTGGTACACTATATACGTGTCCTTCTGCGCCACTGGCACAAAGACTGGCACTCCGCTGTGGTTGGGTTCAGCTGCCGAGTAGTGGTAAAGGTTACCACTCAAGTGTCCAACCACAAACTCATTCTCTAAAACAAACACTTTCATCTTTACAGTTCTGGCAAAATTTAAAAAACGTTCTAGTCACAATGGAGGACGCAATAAACTGACTTTTTGCCTTTTTCAAAACCTGTTAGGTAGATTCTTCACTAATGTATTGATTTTTGAATTGGAATGACAAAAAAGATACTTTGATGCTATAAGGATATTTGTTTTGTATCAGCACATTTGATTTTTTGTCTGATTTGAGCTCGAAAGTCTTGATTTAAATACCAATTGGTTTTTGATTTTCATGGACAACTTAAAAACCAAGACTTTCTACTAATGTCAGTTGAATTAACTGTCTGGCTTTTTTGCCCCAAGCTGACCTGAGTTTGGGAGCCACTTGACACAAGTGACCTTGCTCTGTTCATATGCCTTTTCCTCGTTGAATGTCCTCCCATTATTCTGACCTCCTCTATAGTCTGTCAATTGAACTTGGCCATGTGTGAAGCCTACCTAAAATGTATTCTAATATAACTCGGTTTCTGATAAATGTTTTTCGTTATCAATACTTCGTATCTAATTGTACCCATGACTATAAAATCTGGATTTTTTTAACGTTATATGAACACATAACTTGTAAACCAGCATCTAATTTTGACATCTCCGTTTACAATTCCAAGCCTCTAATAGACATCATGAACTTTTTTCAAAATCAGTTTGCATTCAGCTTCAGTTATCGAAAAGGTCTTTCTTATTTAATTTCCTTATTTATGTTAATTACTTTTTAAGCCATGGATATTTTATACTTTATCTGATTTGCTTACGAGATTGAGATGGTAGACTTCTGAGGCACCATTGGGTTTGTCCTCCACTTGGTACACATCGCACAGGTCATGTGCGGTGGGCGGACATCCCCGGTAGAAGCGTCTGTCTATCTTGTGCATGTCCAGTTCAACACTCCTGTTCGCGCCCCTGTACGCGTACCAATACGTCGCCATGCCTAACAGCACAACACAATATACATATAAATAATAACCAGGGGCGGATCTAGGAATTTTTTTAGGTCGACCAAATTGATTTTCCGAGCTCTCCCAAAGCATTACAAAATTTTGACAAAGAAATTGCGTTTTTTTTTGGCGCGCGCTCCCCCTCAAAATTAATATTTATTGGCGCCGAAGTCGCCTTTAGAAAACTTTTAGGGTACGTCACCAAAAATGGCTCTCTCAAAATAGAACAAAGGGTGACTCTTTGGGTCGGCAGGGGGTCATATTCCTAAATCCGCCCCTGATAATAACATCTGTACATTTGAACTGTTTAGAAACAAGTAAATCCGAGGGTGCCTCGAGTTAAATATAGGTTGAATGCGGTTTTACTTAGAGGGAAACTGTCATTCAGATTAATAGATTAATTCTAATTACAACACAAAAAAAAGAAAAACCGTGGAGGTCAACTATTGCTCTACGCCACAAAAATCTAGATCAATACAATCAGCATCTAGATAAATTCTTTAAGCAAAAAATCAAAATATTTTTCAAAATCTAGTATACACACTGTAGTTGATGCCCAGCATTTCGCATAAGTCTCCGTCCAAGTAGTAGCTCTGAGATGACAGTCTTAGGGGTTCAAGAGAGGAGGAGGAAGAGGAAGCCGATGAGTTTACACCGCCCGCTGGAAGTCCCCCAGCATTTCCCGAGGATGTATAGCCTCCTGCATGACCCCCCTACATACAAAATAGGATCATTTGAAATTTAGCTGAAGAGTCAGCACCATTTTTTGTATGCATTAGTTCTGCCCGTCGGAAAAAAAACGGAAAAAACAGCTTTCCTTGCAATGCTTATTGAAAGAATTCGGCCGCTCCTTTTTGTTCCGACCATTGGGGAGAAATTTGTTCGTTGCGTGTGTTTTGGAATTTTCCACTCAAAAACAGGCACCAAAAAAACGATCACAATGGGTGGAGTGATATATCATATTAAAGCTGATTCAGACTTGAACTGATCTACACTGAAAAATTTTAGTTGCTTCTTTTTTAAAGCGGTTCCTTCAATAAAGTTTTTCTTCTGATAAAACTTCTGATAAAACTCTTCTGATAAAACATATTTTATACAATTTAAGTTTTTATTTTATTTTTTCTTGAAAACTATAGTCAAATATGACTAATTTACTAATCTTGTACATGCTCAAGCTACAAGGAATGTCGATAAAGAAAGTCACCGTCGATGAAATTCCAGACTCTATTACTGCCATTTTCACGTGTTTTTGAATGTATTTGAAGCACAGGATGAATTGACTCCATCCTCAAACCTGCCAAACTCAAGGGCAAAAAACTAAGGTAAATTTCAGTGATGTGAGCAACAGCTATTTTTTTGGCACGCTGAAAAATATTAAACGGTCAGTAGGTACGTAACCGAGGAGCAATCAATCATTGAGCAAGCAATCAAGAAAAATGTATTGTCTGACATTGAAACTATTTTCAGCCAACCTGATGAGGCGCGTTGATTGGGTGACCAGATCCAATGTATTGACCACCATTAGCCGACCGGATCTGAAATGATTGCTTGTAACAGAACTGAGCAATATAATATCAATTACAAATCAAGCTAAATCAATGATTCAAAATTAAAAAATGTAACGTCTCAATTTCTCAGACAAATCAGAAAAAGATTGATTAAATTATGGAAACTTAAAATCCCAATTCAGCTTCACTCACCCTCAAATCTAGTCGGTTTCCAAAGATACAATAGTCGCCCTCCTTCAGAGAGAAATCAGCAACTATCTTGTCAGTATTCTGGTGGTCGCCTTCCATTTCACAACAATGCCTATATTTCAGTCAGACTCATGTTAGTCATGTTACACCAAAATATTTCATAGCTTACATGACGCGCTAAAAACAATCAGAAGAATGACGTTGTGCCAGTCGGTCATGTCTGGGGGTTTGACCTTGAGAAATACGTAATTTTGGAGTGAAATTTTAATTTTGCAAAATTCGAATCGAGCCTGTCATGCTCAATTTTCTCGAACCAACTGAAAATGAAAAAGTCAGAAATCAGAACACCCGAATTAACAATTGCGGGAAACTACTCAAGAAAAAGGCAGGAAATTGCTATTCGCAATTTCTCGATACGAAATATCAAGAGAGTAGAGCTGTCTTGTCCTGAAAACAGGAGAATCGAATACGGACTTGAGACAGAACAATTATTCGAATGGAAAGGAGTGGACTCTGAATGGAAGAGTGGACAACTCGAGTGTCCAAAGGGTTCATTCAGAGACTTTGATTCTAGAGACAAAACTTACTTCTGTTATTGAAACTAATTGGCCTTAAAACTTATTTAGTTATATTACTTAATTCTCAAGCTGCTCAGTTATAACTTACTCCTCATATTCAAGTGCGTCGATATGTAAGTTCCAATTTAAATTTCTCGAGTGTATTTTATGATAGTTATGTTGAGATAAGGCGAGTTTTAGGTTGATCCATCTGAAATGGATCAAAGTTCCACTGTCCAATAAAAAGTAACTAAGCGGATTGTTCCGACCCGGTTTTTAACGGCGTTCATGTATTTTGGGTATCCCGAGACCTAAGTATGGGGACGTTTTTATTTCTAGAGTGGGGGGGTATTTTGGTAGTGGCCTTTAAGCTGTAATGGGTTCCAGTCTCATGTCGCAAGCGAACCGAATTGGCTCCGACCGTTCTTGAGGCGGAAAAACACAAGAGATAGTGTCCCTGACTCTTGAGCCAATGGTTATAGGGCCTATTTTTCTTAAGCCTCATATGTGACTAAAGTAGGCGACTGTTACATAGTGTTTTTATGGCGCTCCTGGGTGTTTTTACGACATCATGACTACGGAGTCGAACCCACTTGACACAGCTCCGGGCTACATGCCCATTCTAGAGTACCGGTGGTACGGTTCAGCGGGAACGTGTAAACCTTCCGGTTGTACCGTGATAGCTTTTTAAGAAAACTCAAGAAAACTTCCTGGTACGCTCTCCGAACGAGGCTTAGCTAACCGAGTAAAGGGGGGCAACTAGGGGGACAAAAACACGAGCAAAAAAGGAAAACAAATAGGAACAAAAACTATAAAACGAAAAAAGACAGTGACTTTGATACCAAATTAGTTGGATCGAACCTTTGTATTAATTAAATAGTATACACATACTGTTTTACAAGACCGATCGTTTCGATCAATCTAGCAATTTTTCGATCAACTAGCAGTGACCTTGGTAGGGTGCCCGAGTGGGGGGCGTTGTTAAGGGTTTTTAGATAGATTGCGACCCAACCGGACCACTGGGAGACTTGACTGGAAAGGGTGACCAGTCGAGTGGGAAAGAGGTTCACAAGGATCGAAACGGACCACCAAGAGACTTGATTGGAAGAGGTGACCAGTCGAGTGGGAAAGTGGGTCTGCTGTCAAGGGCAGAACAGAGACAACCAGCACAGGGCCACCACAAGAGGACGCACAAGGGTGTTCTCAGGTCGGACAACGGGTATCGTTAGAATCCACATTACATTATAAGAAATAAGTGTAAAATTGAATAAGCGGAGTCCCATTGTTTTGAGGCAGTTTTTACTCAAGCAGACCTGGAAACAGGTCTACGGTTTTCTCAAGAGAGGTTTAGCACCCGGCGCTTAAGGGATTTTTCGGCTTAAGAGGGGGGCTAAACAGGGGGGAGGTTAGCAGGGGGACTGGTTAGGTTAGAGGTTGGCAGTTGTAAATTGTAAAAAGGGGGGAATTAGAGTAACTAGTTAATCGACATCGTTGATTTAGTTACATTAGCCATCAACACGCGTGGTAACAATAGGTGGACATCCAAAACTTATCTCGAGTTAAGATTGGTACGCTGGTTGGATCGGTAGGGGGGAACGGATATAGACAGTTTTCGTGACACCTCATAAGACAACTAGTGGGGGGAGGAAAACGCGTGGCAATTAGGTACCAGACATTTTTTTTGAAAGAAGGTTGACATTTGTCTCCTTTGAATTTTAGGTGGGTTGATTACTCTGTTTTGTTTTTTTTTTTCGGTATAAAATTTTATTTTTTCTATATACACTGTTGCGTTTTGGGGAAGATTGGCGATTGGTTTTTAATACAAACAGGTGATCACAAGATACCTGCACACAAGTTTTGGCTCCCAATTGCTGGGAACATTCAAAAAGAGGTAACTAAAAAAGGGGGGCCAGATTTGGCAACCAAGAGAGGGTTTTTGGGAAAATTTTCACTAGAGCTTGAGTGGTGGTACAAGGTACAGACAACCAAGAAGTCCCTACAACGAAGAAGAAAGAAATCCTATATCCAGACACTCAGTGACAAGTCTTGGGACAGTACCGAACTAGTCTAGGGACATTGCAGTCTGGGGACAGTCTTGGAGCAACACAGTCTTGGGACAGTGCAGCTTTGGGGCAGTCTTGGGCCAGAGCAGTCTTGGTACGAAACGGTCTTGGGACATTGGTCTTGGGACATTGGTCTTGGGCCATTGGTCTTGGGACGTAGGTCTTGGGACATTGGTCTTGGGACATTGGTCTTGGGACGTTGGTCTTGGGACATTGGTCTTGGGCCATTGGTCTTGGGACGTTGGTCTTGGGACATTGGTCTTGGGCCATTGGTCTTGGGACATTGGTCTTGGGCCATTGGTCTTGGGACGTTGGTCTTGGGCCATTGGTCTTGGGACGTTAGTCTTGGGACATTAGTCTTGGGACATTGGTCTTGGGACGTTAGTCTTGGGCCATTGGTCTTGGGACGTTAGTCTTGGGACATTAGTCTTGGGACATTGGTCTTGGGACGTTAGTCTTGGGCCATTGGTCTTGGGACGTTAGTCTTGGGACGTTGGTCTTGGGACGTTAGTCTTGGGACATAGGTCTTGGGACGTTAGTCTTGGGACGTTAGTCTTGGGACGTTAGTCTTGGGCCATTGGTCTTGGGACGCTGGTCTTGGGACGCTGGTCTAAAGGTACCAACGAGAAGTACAGGGACAACGCTGAACGGTCTTGGGACGGTAAAGAGAAAGTCTTGGAACAGCATTAGGAAGGGGGTACTACAAAAGTAATAGGTTAGGTTGAAGCACCAAGTATAACAACACGTTCAACACGTTCCCTATCCTAACCTAACACGAAAGAGCTTACAAGAGTTCAAGAAAAATTGTTTTTAGCGAATTATTAATTTCTTTTTCCTTGGAGTTTTTAAACCTTAGAATAGAATTTTTGTAGATAATAATATTGTAAATAATAACAATTGTAAATAGTGAGGCGGAGCAGGGTACCGGTAGCTGAAAAAAGATCGACCGAAGCAAAGTATAATTCGTCGCTAAGCAAAGCAACACCAATGGGTCCGAAGATAACAAAGAAGAACTTTTCAGTTAACATGGTCAGCACAAGGAGTACAGCGGAGAACAGGGCGAAAGAGGGCACGGAAGGGGAGAGAGTAGAACCCACCATCGAGATTGATCTAGAGACACCCGATCAAAGTGTGGATGAAACAGGGAAGATGGCGACAGAGTCAACTCCAATGCCCAATACAGAGGAACCGAACCAGAAACCCATAGAGTTCTCACCGATAGATGACGCGGAAGATGCAATAGGCAACACCGAAGAAACGGTGAAAGAAGACTCTCAAGTAAAGAGGACATCTTTTACGGAAAAATTGGGAATAATGTTCGGAATAAAAACGAAAGAAAACGTGACTGAAGAGCCAAAAGCAGAAAGAGCACGAACATTTGGTACAGTGAGCACGAAAGCGACAGAAACCGGCCAGAATGAGGAACAAGCTAAAGCAGAGGCTATGGCCGAAGAGAAACCCACGGCTGACCATGAAGAGACTACCATTGAGCTGGGCGATTTGTTGGCGAAATTAAATCAGATCGACAAAAGACTTAAGAACAGTGAAGAAGACAGAGAGGTGATAAAAAAGGAGATAAGATACAACAAGCACGAGTATCTAGACAGTTATTTTAACCTAGCTAAGGCAACAGAGGAGAGACTCAAGGAAATGTCAGACAAGGTAGAGGCCACCAATGAAGAACGAGAAAAGAACATCAAAACAGACATGCAACAGTTGAAGAACCGATATGATGATGTTAACAGCCAATTAGGGAGCCTGGAAAGGAGAATGGACACAATGAGCAAGAGTCAAGCAGAGAGTTCGTGTGCAATACAGGCGAAGTTGGATGCAATCTTGAGAGGTTCTACACCACAAGAGAGACCGGCAGCGGATCGTACGCAAGGCACCAGAGTTGATTTTGTAGAACCACAAAGAAACAAACGGCAATCGACACCGTTGCCCATACCCAGGGATGCGATAAGCATAGCACCAACAGCTGCGAAAACAATAATGAAGAGTGGAACGTCGAACACGACGACTGGTCCGGGAGATTCAACAGCCAACAGCAACTCAGGACCGGATGCTATGACATGGGCCAGCACTTGGGAGATGATGAACAGGACTCTAGAGGCCTTCGCCACGAGGAACACTGACTCGAGCGACAGGAGAGAGGGAAAATCAAGAAAAACATTCAAGAAGCCAAAAGAATTCAAAGATGACTCCGATGGATGCATTGACACTTGGGTGGAAGTGATGAGACTACATCTAGAGCAAGATAACTTGAGTGACGAAAGACAAGCGTGCACAGCCATACTCAGCAATTTAGAAGGCACGGCATTAAAGTGTGTGGTTGCGAAGAAAGAAGAAGAACGCGACACCGCGGACAAAATCTTTGAAATACTGTTGAACAGATTCGGCTCAGGCATGAAGGGTCATCAAGCGATGATGCGATTTGAAAAAAGGAGACAGAGGGACGACGAGTCAATAGATCGGTTCCTAGATGACCTCGAGAGCTTGAGAAGGAGGAGTGACCCAGAGGAGTCGACAAACAGACGGAACTTTAGCATTGCCTCGAAGTTCATTGATGGGGTGAA